CGCATCCCCCCCCCCTTTCCTCAAAATTAAGCTTGCCAGTAGGGCTCACTTTTTTAATATTCCGTCCAACTTACTCCCGATATTATCCGATATTCAGAGTCTAACAGCTCTCAACGAAGACTTCATAATCCTTTTTCACCATCGAACTTTTCAGGTGTTACGAGACAAGTTGGCGATGCCTTACTCATGGAAAGATCGCAGCGAAGTGGGCGTATCGTGAGCATCGGAATTGCACCTTGGGGAATCGTCGAGAATAATCATGAGCTCATCGGACACAACCGGGACGTTCCTTATCATTCCATTTCCTCTCCCAGGTAAATCATCTTACTATTACCTGTTGCCGTCGATTCAAATTCCGTCAATTTTACCGCCTCGAACGGCTACAGTTTGTGCTAACTATTCAAAAGCAAAACTATGATTTATCTTACAATGAAGTGGTAGTATTTTCCACTCTTGAATGTTCGTTGGTTTGATTGAAATTAATATTCTTTTACGTATTTTTTTGAGTAATGAGTTGTCAATTTTTATCAGATTTATGGAAAATCCCGCGAGGCAAAAATCTGTGGACACTGTGGATTGTAGTTTCTGAAGTTGAGAACGCCGTTTGTTTACATTATTCTTGTTCCACTTCTGGCCAATCAAAATCATTCTCATAATTGATAAAAGGTAACGAGTGCGTTGATAGTAATTTGTTGAGTTCTTCCTCATTTCCTCCTGGAAAATGTGCACAATGTTGAAGAACATTTTTGGAACACATATTTTTTTTTAAATGTTTTTTACATCTCCTTTATTCGAATAAAATACTCACTGTCAGAAAAATAATCAACCCCAAAAATTCATGTGTTTTCTCTGACTTTTCTCATCCATGAAAGAAATCCTATCTAAGAGTACATAAGTACTGTAAGCATGCCTACTTTCTTAAATTTTTATCTCTTTACAGTATTTATTTTTACACCTGCCTTTATTTATTCCAGGTCCAAGTACGCTGTTCTCAATAATCGACATGCTTATTTTCTTCTTGTTGATAATGGGACCGGCGGACGTTACGGAGCTGAAATTATCTTACGTCGGAAATTGGAAAAATACATATCAATTCAAAAATTACATCCATGTAAGTTCTTGTTGTGCCAGTCCCATAGCTAACTTAATTTAGAGTACTCAATTTTCCCTTTCCAACAGTGATTGGTTTTTTCATGCATATTATAAAATTATTTTTGATGGATAGATAATGTCGCTTCAGTTTTGCCGCAGGCAGGAGTTTTCAGTACATTATACTGGCAGTCCTGCCTTTAGCATCAAGGGAAGGGATGCATATGACAGTCTATTTAATCCCCTCAATCACATCTTCACCATGTTTTTGGTGCCAGCAACTAGTTTTAAACCGGTCAATTTTATTTATCTTGGAACATTAGGGTCACATTCTGACCAACTCTACATAAGTGATTTTTGATAGATAGGTGTCGATAACGTACCGCAGATGATGACACGGAAGTGCCCGAAGAGCAAGGTTTACTATATCTTACAACATTTCTTTTCCATAATGAGAGACACCAGAGATAAATAATCAATTTTAAAGTGAGAACATTTGCCTCTGAATGGCTCAGTACCTAGTTTAACAATCAAAGACACCACGTTTAATTCTCGCAGGTTCAGTAGTTTTCATTTTTCAATGAAATGATAAATGTCCTTACACCTGCATTTTTATTTATTTATTAATTTATTTTTTTATTGCATTCACAATAAAAGGAAGCAAAATCTTGCTAACTAAGCAGAAGTAAAATTTATTTGTATAGTCAAAGTATGCACAGGGAATCGTACAAAAAAGGAAAGATTAGGTATCCAACCAATAATTCTGGAAGAATGAGCTACGATTAAAGGGTTTCTAATTTAAATAAACAGTTTTTTCTTTTTCATTTTTTTCCTCCTTACATATAAGGGGTCTGGAGAAATAGGCGCTAATGTGCCGGGCTTAAAGTTTCAAAAATACATGGAGCCGTATGGTGGAAAGAAAGTTCCAACTCACTTTTTGATACTTAGTCATTTGACGTTATCCGAGAATTTCCTCCCCCCCCCCTTTCAACCCACTGATACGCTTACTTGGTATGCATAAGTGACGTAACTAAGTGAAAATATTTAATTCCTTCCTGAAATCTGTGAATTTATTTTTGTATGTATGCAACTAAATTTCGAATTCAGCGCGTCAGGGCATTTTTCGTTTCCCAATAGTCATCAAAACCTATCCTCCCACAGAGCATCGGGCAAATGGTACCTTCTGATCTCCGATCTCTGAGAGATCAGAAGGTGCCAACAGTCAAATTTTAATTTTTTAATCTGTTGAATGTGCTGTATCATTATATTTTCAATTTAATTCTCTGATTTCAGGCACACACTGTAGCACACCAGTCGTTTGTTTAGTGATAGAAGGAGGTACAAACACAATCCGAGCTGTTCTGGAATATGTGACTGACTCTCCCCCTGTCCCTGTAGTTGTTTGCGATGGATCTGGTCGAGCGGCTGACCTCCTAGCCTTCGTGCACAAGTAACTATTTGTACTAAAATTTCACAGCCTCAGTGATGTAGTAGTGGTCAAGGCAGTTTGCTGCCAACATTGAGGTCCTGGGTTAAATCCTCGGAGGTGACTGATATTTGAGGACACTTTAAAATCAGTCATCGTGGCCGTGGATGACTATGCCACTTCAATACCCTGACCCTTTGAGGTAACTGGGTGTGGGAGGGACATAGTCACTCAGTAAGTAATCCGTCTGTGCTGTTTGACTGGGTTGTGAAAAAATCAGTGATCACTTGTTGTGTGCGCTACTTCCAGCGCTATCTATCAGTGAAGATTGAAACAACACAGTCCAACTCGGTGGCTGTGCTCCGAAAATCCGTGCTCTACGGCGTCTGCCACAGTCTTTGATAAGACCTACCGTTAGCTTTCAGATGGCCGCTGAGCCTTACGAGAATATAGAGTGTAGAATTCACCATGTAGAATGGTACGAAAATAAGGAGCACGGTCCAACTTCGGGGCACACAATGGCAGAGTTCTTGACAGTTGCCTTGGCCCCTGGAGGACGTCTGGCTGGTCAGCCCGGCCCTTACTTACTCTCTAAAATTTTATCAGAGTATGAGTTTTGTCTCGATGATAATACAGTGTCCTTCAAAAGGCCAACTGTCTTCCATAAAATCGTAGTAATTTGATGAAATACTTGCTTCATGTAAAAGTCAACACCACTTGAGGACTCCCCACTACCTACTACTTAAAATGTAAACAAAATTATTCACAAACTAAGAGATTAATTTATTTGTTTGTAGATGAATGTGAATAAAATCTGTCATAAATTGTCAATGGAAAAATATTAATTTTATTATTCGAATTATTCAGGAGACAATTCTAGCTTTTTTCCCGTTGTAATGTCATTATTTTCTCTTTTGAGTTCGGGTGAAGAAGCAAAGCGTTCAGTCCTATCTTTAAGTACTCAAATCAATCCTTAATTTCTTTGATTTTTTCTGTAGGTATGCCTCTGAAACTGGAGAACAAACTGTGCTGGAAAGCATGAAAGAGTACCTGATTAACACTATTGAACGAACTTTTGAAGTAGGATCTGACCAAGCAGAATGTTTGTACAATGAACTTTTAGAATGCACCCGGAAAAAAAATTTGGTAAGTACCAATGTATTTTCTGTGTTTCCTATACGGAACTTTATTTCAGCTACAGCTTTTTAAAGATGCAGAGAAACAAATTTAGTCACTGTTTGTTTGCAATTTGACAGTATGTACAGTAACTTAAAAACCTTGCTACAACAAGCATAAATTTTTTTCACCTTGCGGTCTAGGTAAAATGTTTAATGTCTGAAGAAAAGGAGAGAAAGAGATAGGTTAAACCACGTATCAAAGGATCTGTCACAGATACATTTAATTTTCCTTCTAAAAACTGTATAGGTATAAGTTAAATGAAGAATCTCTCTTTTTACAACCGTACAAACCAAGCAAAAATACAACAAATTTTAACCACTCTAGGCTCACGGCTCTAAGGCTGGTTAGGAAATGCACACCCTTGCCCTACACATGATTTCTTATAGAGATATTCTCATGTTTTACCATCAACCATTTTCTATCTTTTTTTCTCTCTTTCACTCTCTCCTCCCCCGTTTTAAATTTTTTTTTTTTAACTGCACCACATATCAAGACAATAATTTACGCTTTTTCATTTCAGATAACTGTATTTAGGATAAGTGAGCGTTCAACAGAAGCTGGAACACAGGAGCTAGATCAAACAATTTTAACTGCTCTGTTCAAGAGTCAGCACCTTTCTCCTTCCGAGCAACTTTCCTTAGCCTTAACGTGGAATCGAGTGGATATTGCGCGCTCAGAAATTTTTGTCTATGGACAAGAATGGCCAACAGGTAAGCAATCAAGAATTATCCCTCGCAAACCTAATAATTTTCCTCAGCCGTGAATTAAGTTAAATCTTACATTAATTTCACCCTGATTAAAATGATGACTAATGATGAATGATCCGAAAAGTTGTAGGCAATTGGGCCAGTCGACTAAATTTTTAGTCGGTTTGACTCAGATTTCTAATCGTCCGACCACAATTTCCAGTCAGTCTGATTAGGATCTCAGGTCAGTTTTTCTACGGTTTTTGGTCGGTCCAACTGGAATTTTTAGTCAGTTGCACTATCTGAAAATTCCTTAATGTTCTATTTACAAACTGATGAATGAGATCATAATTTTTTTATCGACAGATATAACTTTTGCCACACATACCTACACAAAAATTTACACATTTAAAAAGTGTCCCTATAAATTATTATTGAATGAGGAAGGATATTTCGAACATGCTGTCATCAAAGTTACTTCTGAAATAAACTCACGCAATAGCAAGAAAAGGCAGTATGAACCCTATTAATTTTTTGTAAAGAAGATAAGTCGCAAATATTTTAGCAGCCACAATATTTATCTGCTCTTTTTTCTAATGCTTTTTTTTAAAAATCTATTTTATTCCAGGTGCCCTCGATGAGGCCATGATGCAAGCATTGGAACACGATAGGATTGATTTTGTGAAACTTTTATTAGAAAATGGTGTCAGTATGAAAAAATTCCTGACAATTCCAAGGCTAGAAGAACTGTACAATACAGTGAGTAACGTTAATTTGTATATTAAACACACATAAAAATGCACTTACCCGAACATTTGGCCTTGAATCCCATAAAGTTCCCATTGGTTTTGTCGTCAGATTTTACTTTGTCAAAAACTATCTTTCAATAGTCTTCTAAACTAATGAAGAACAACTTAATCAGCCAAAAATACAGTAAAATGACAACTTGATCAGCCGAACTTGTCAATGACAGCCTTGAGAAGGCTGCTGCAAAATATCGGCTATCAAATTCAATAAATTAAGTTAAAAACCAGGTGTCTTGAGATATGTAGTTACAAACTCATTTTCTACTGGGAAAAAGGAAGAAAATGTACATTGTTGATTTGCTATAATTGCGCGACCAAGACCAACTGATAAGCAACCAAGACTGTTTTAGTCTTGCAACAACAGCAAATCGATGACTCATAATGTCTTTCTTTTTTGCGTTAAAAATGAGTTTGCAACTATCATGAAAAGTCCAGTATTTTTTTTCTTTTTTGTACTTGTTTTTTTATATTTTCTAGTAGCTTTCTCTTGGATCATGGCTTTTCAACTTTAAACTTTATGAATATGGTCCATCCAGTTTTCTTATGACTGATGAAAATACCTCACTCTAAATGACATTGAAATACATTGTTCAAATGGCCAATAAAAACTGTTCTGTCTGTTTTGTGAATAATTCCTAATATTTTTATTACGACCTGATAATTATTGCTGCCTTTTTTTTGTTCGTTTTCAGAAACAAGGTCCTACCAATACTTTAGGTTATATTCTTAGAGATGTCCGACCAAATATACCTCGGGGCTACATTTATACTTTACACGATATCGGTCTTGTGATAAATAAATTAATGGGTGGTGCATACAGGTATGTACTCTGTTTCATTTGTAATCTCCACTGGTGCTGTGAAAAACTAAATGCAAAGTTTGTTAAAAAATTGTAGGGAACCATTCTATTTTAAATATTTACAGCATATCGCTGGTGAAACTCTTTATCTCAGGTTTGTGACACCACAGATTTATTGACACACGAAGAAAAACTGGGCATCATCATCGCTCTAAAATGTGTCTAATTTTTCTACTTACTCTCAAGAATGTTCCTAGGATACTGCATCCCAAAACATCCTATAATATTCTCTTCATAATATAAAGTCTAATCACATGTTTTGAAGCACTTTAATCGGTGAATGCATTTTTGTGAGTGCAGCATCGATATATTGACACTAGTTGCAAAATGGATCACTTGTATGATTTGATTTGCTTTCTCACTCCTTTAACTTTAATTTAAATTCTGACGCTTGTCTATTTTCAATAAGTAATCATAGTTGAGAGAGTCGTCACCCATTAATTTTTATTAATTCCTCATCTCATGTCATAGAGCTGCTTTGCTTGAGATAGATCTCTTAGAGCATTCATTTAATTCAAAGGCAAAATAATCATAGTAACAAATACCACCAACTACCGGAAATTTTGAAGCAATACCTCACCTTTTTCTTATCTTGGCATAATATCATGAAAGAAATAAAATTTTACTGTAAAACTATGATCAAAGAAATTCCTCAAAAAGTGTCAAATATGAACATTCCTCTTGCCAAGTGGTCGCTAAATTGGTAGCCGAAGTTGCTGAAAATGTCGTGGAAGTGGTTGTAGAAACATTGCAATAAGTTTTCACAGTGTTATTTTTTCAGGAACATTGTGGCAATGTTTTTACTATCTTTTGCCAGGTAATTGTCTGGAACAAAATCATTGACAGTAGTTCGTTCTCTTTTTTCACGTTAAATTCTAACCATCCCTTTTCATTGTTGTGTTTTCCAGAGCATCATATACCCGCCGAAAATTTCGTGTAATTTACACTAAAGTTATGAAAAAATCGCCTCATTTTCATCGCAATAGCTCTTCCTTTATCCGGTATTATGGTAACACTAATTTAACACTCAGTCTTCTAGCGGAAACACTGCCTACAACGAAAGAGATGCCTCGGTTTGATTACCCTTTTAATGAGCTTTTAGTAAGTAATTACCATAAATATGTGTCATTTCTCCCCCCGGTGTAGCCTTGCTTTATAAATCCTTATTATTCAGTTTTAAATTTTAACATTGAGTTGCAAGTATAATTAAATTAAACGCCATTCTTGGTTGATCACAATGTATGCATTGAGTCTATTCCAGTATGAATTCCATCAAATTTTAACCTACATGATAGTGTCCACGTCTCAGGATGTGACAAGAAAATATAGCTTGTAGGAAACATTCAAATCTATTCTTCTATTAATCCTGGCTTTTCATTCATTAATTCTGCTTTTTCTAGTTTGCATTTGTTTAAATTTGATGCACAGAAAATTATTGACAAATTTCGCATCATTTACAGCGAGTAGTATTTACAGTTAATATCCGAACTTCTGCTTGCTTAATATATTTTTGTTTCCCTTTATCTCTTGCAGATTTGGGCTGTCCTAACAAAACGGCAAGAAATGGCCCTACTTATGTGGCAGCACGGTGAAGAAGCGCTTGCCAAAGCGCTTGTCGCATGTAAATTGTACAAAGCAATGGCGCATGAAGCTGCTGAAGATGATCTAGAAACTGAAATTTATGATGAACTCAGGAACTATGGGAAAATTTTTGAAGACATCGGTGATTATCTTGATTTTTCTCCTACTACCGAAGAAGGTTTTCTCAAAGCTTCTAATTACATCTCTCTCTCATAGCTCAAATGAGTATGAGAGCATGAGATCCGTAAGAGTACATGCATTACAAGGCTCATGTCACAATAACAATTATAAAACTCACTCTTCTGAATTCAATGTTAAATCCTGAGATTAATTCTGATTCCCCTTTGGAGAAATCAAAAGGAGTACGATCGAAGTTCGTTTTGATTTGAATGCATCCAACTCTAAATGCTTAATCAGGGTTACTTACTTAAAAGCCATGAAAGTGTTCCAAACACAACCATCATTCAACTATGATAGACTTTTCCTTGCAAAAAGGTAATGCTCATGCTTAATTTTTGTTCAATTTTCAGCCCTAGAGCTTTTAGACTTTAGTTACCGGCAAGATGATGATCAAACACAACAATTGCTGACGTGTGAATTACAGAACTGGAGTGGACAAACATGCCTATCCCTGGCTGTAGCAGCTAACCATCGGCCGTTGCTGGCGCATCCATGTAGTCAAATTATCCTTGCCGATCTATGGATGGGAGGATTGAGAACTAGGAAGAATACAAATTTGAAAGTAAGCAAATCACCTCAGTGAAATTAATGAATCAGTTGAAATATATCTTTTCTGTAATAGATGCTCACATAGTGGGAAAACAGGATTGTTTTATTCACACCCGTGCAGATAATCAGTTGAAAGAAATTCACGTTCAAAGGAGGTGATCACCTCTTAGGCAAATAATTTAAATAAAATGATCATGTATCAAAAAAATTCACATATGCTGTTAGCTAGAATGAGTCGCAACATGTATATTTTTATTGTTGCGAAGTTTTAAGGAGTTGTCCACCAATATAATGATTTCATCATTATTCACATTACTTTGACAAATAAATTTTCTGCTAAATTAGATCTTCAAGGGACTCTAAGGATTATTTTACTGGCATTCTAACTGATGTCTGTCAAAAAGCTTCAGCTGAAAGTCTTTATTCTGCCCTTTCTGTTGTTGTCCAGATCATTTTGGGTCTCTTCTTTCCAATTTATATCACTCGGCTGGAATTCAAATCAAAAGAGGAGCTCCAGTTGATGCCGCAAACTGAAGAAGAACATTTGTATGGACTGGAGGAAGAGAATGAAAAATTCGACACAGGAGAACATAATGGTCAACATCGAAATACGGAAGCTGACATAGAGGTATCTATCCCATAAGTTTTCTGCCATTTTACAAAACACATTCTGAGCGCAAAAATTTATCTCTTCTAAATTAGTGTTCTTAAATTTTTGATTATAGGAAGAGAAAGATCTTTATGAGGACAGAGTGAAAGATTTTATGAAGCAATTTTTTAGGGAAGAGAGTGAGCATCTGTTGATTTTTGCCAAGACATATGATGAGTGTTTTTTATGTCACTTTCTGAAAGTAGTTCTAATTCGATAATTTAATGTATCTGTAAAGTCTAAACCAACGCTTTTGATGGAGCTGAAATTCATTAGAAAGTTACATATTATCAAGTTGATGGGTCTTCAGTTTTCCTCTTCTATTACTATAGCTGATACCAATAATTTAATTCATAATGGTGACCAAATTTTCAAGATGACCCGCATCTTGATTTTGTAAGCTGTTTCTTAAAAGTTATATATGTTCAGTTAGGCTTTATTTAATTGTAGTTTGGTTGTGTCTATTGAGTGTTTCTCTGAATTAATCAGAAATTTCGAAAATTTGTGATGTTTGTTTATTGTTTCCTAGAAAACGAACAGATTAAGTGTTCGGAGCAAATCATCCAGTCAGACTTTTAACGTCAAGGTATTTGGAATTCACTTCCGTTTTGTGACGTCTAGTAGCCTCTTGTTTTTTTTGTTTTTTTTTCTCCTTAATTTTTTTTATTTTGTCTAGTTTCTGTTGTCGTCCTAGCTGGGTTTTTGTTGTATCGTTATTGCCTCTTTTCGTTACTTATTTTCAGTTAATTCAAACTTTTTACAACTGTAGACTTTGTCGTATTCATTCCTAATTTTTTCTCTCTATGTACAATGTTATGACAATTTTAGGTGAATCATTTGACTTATAAAAAATTATTTGCTCTAACGCTTTTGCTAATAAGTTTGGGTAACTCATGCTACAAGCAAAACCATCAATCAAGAAGGTTTTTTTTTCTGGCAAGCTGATATTAAATGTAATCGTCAAATATATTTCAAACAAAATTCGAAAAGGTGGCAAATTATATATTTTCAAATTTTTCAGTTGTGATCTTGAAGTTTTCCTAAAAGAAATTTTCAATTTTGATCATGACCTTTAGTATTGATGGAAAAGTTCTTGACAATTGACACATCGGTACTGACCCATGTTCCTATTACTGTGTCTCTCTGTTAATTACAATCACCACACAAGAATTAATAAATGTTGTTGTCAGGATTGCTGCTGCTTAATAACACACCATTAGAGTCCTATAAAATTTGAAATTTTTGATCAGTTTCTGTTGTTTGTAATATCTTAAATGAATCGGTCAGTTACAAAAGAACTTAAGCACCAGTTATAAAAATGCGAAAAAAAAACAGTAGAAACTGTATGAATCAACCCATTTTAAATTGTAGATTAATTAATAATATGATTAATTAATTCATCACTTAAATATTTTAGAGCTTCGAGATTTATAAGGGGTCAATTAAAACGGATATTACCATTTTTCTCGAATTCTCATTTTTGGCGCTTGAGCCCTTTTGTAACTGACTGATTCAATTGTCTTTTTTGGTTTTTTATCCATTGAAAGAACTTGTCACCATCGACGTTCACTATGATTGTAATATTTTGTGAAAAATATTTTCTATTTCATATCACTGTCTAAGCTTTGTTGAGTTATTTTAGCCTTCTCTTAATATCTTTTATTAATATTCTTCTACATTGCATGTCTTGAATTTAAACGTTGTTTGATTAGACTTCAAAAGATCATGAAATCTCAATGCTCACCTGCAGGCTGATAGTTAAAACTATTTTTTTCTATGTCAGCAAGATAAAAGAAGACATAGCCCTACCTGCACCATGTAATATGTGGATTTGCGATGTCTTTTTGTGCTAACTAAAGCTTCAACAAGTCAGCCAGCAGAGTAAGCAATGTAAACCCCTGAGTCTGCTGTTAATTTAAGCAGTATTGCGGATTTTTAGCTATTGCCCATAACTTTTATGTCTGAGAGTATGTAGTTGAAAAAGTGAAGGTGAAAACATACAATCACCCATCCATAATCAGTAACTTTAGTGAGCGTTATTATTGTATTTGAAACTTCAGAAATGCATATTTCAGTTGCGGTGTTTTAAAATCTTTACTCCGATTTTATTTATTAACTGGAGACCAAACCAAAATCATGGCTGGAAATCACAGAAAATTTTTTTTACATAGATAAGGAAAATCACTGAAGTTTTCAAAAAATTGTGTTTAATAGTTTTCCATGCAGAAAATTAAATATGAAAAGAAGTCTGCAACACCGTAAACTGAGATACTTGTGCCCCTTCATCAATACAGTTATATCATCCACAAAACTAGTCAACATATTTTCTCGAAAAGTTCTCTGACAATTCTTCTCCGTCCACAGAATAATCTGTAAAAATTTCAATCTACAAAGTTGGCTTGTGCCTCCTTGAAAAAATAAAATAGAAGCGAAAATTTTGAAATACCGCAGTCAACTTAAGTGGTTTTGCACTTAAATCATCGATTTATGACTGTATTATCAATGAAGATCAATTTTTGTGGTTGAATTTCGTTTTTATGAGCCTGTTATTAACAGCAAGTTAGTCTGCTCGTATTTTTCAGGCCCTGATTTCACAAGAAACCTGTATGCGTGACACGGTTGTTACGGAAAATGGGAAAGTGTTGACCGAAAACATGGGGAGTTCCGGCTCAGAAAGTGGAAGCCAGTTTATACCAATGCCAACTGAGTACACTTTTGATATCAAACAGAATAGACCGCTAAAGCTCAAAAGGAAATTATATGAATTCTACACGGCTCCAATTACCAAATTTTGGGCTAACGCTGTAAGTCCTTTTTTATTTGATTAACCTGTCTATTCATCATATCATAACTCTCTTTTTTATTTAAAATTTTAACAGAAGGAAAAATTATAAAAGTTTGAAGATTCTATTTCTGGAATTAATTGATTGTTGGGAGCCATTCAATCTCACGAAGAGCTCCAGTGTGTCGACAGGTTCTGATTTTCCTTCAAATAACTCAGCTTTAAAATTATGAAGGAAAAAAACCAATCAATTCTTTCATCAATTTCACCTTCTTAGTGGGTTAGTGGAGGTAGTCCCATAGTAGTCACATTTTGATGGTTGAAGCTTATAGATTACTCAGCGAAAAATAATATGCGCTGTCCAAATGCCTAGTTTCTACATCTACTATAAGTGGAAATACCACCCCTCGTAAAACTTGATGTTTGATGTCATCCCCCCAGGTAGTACACATTAAATACTATCATGTCTTCCACCTTGGATACACCTATTAGTCTCACACATTTTTGCACTGTTTTGGGGACTTAATGAACACCTCTTAATGCTTGATATTTGCGGAAATCAACAATTTCACTGGTATATAAGCCTACAATCAAAATATTGATCAAGCGAAAAATTTGTATCATCAATTTAATCTTTAGACTCTCAGCAAATGTTTCAAAATATCATTTCATTTTTCTAGAGAACATTGTAATCTTCTTTGATTCTAAACATTGCATATTCTAAAAACACACGTCACAAGTATGATTTTTTTATTGTTTACAGATATCTTACGTCATTTATCTAGTGATTTATAGTTATGTTATTTTGGTGCGCATGGACCAAAATCCGTCCTGGCAAGAACTTTATATTATTAGTTACATTTCTACTCTTGGCTGTGAGAAAGTACGAGAAATTGTATCATCTGAACCTGTTGCTATTAGGTGAGTTTTTCAAAATATAAATAAATTACGAAAAGCTTTCAAGTGCAATCTGTTTGCTCACTTAGCAATTTGTAGTTTTGCCTAACCAGAAATTTAGCTGTCATGCCGGGGTATTTATTTAATTAATATTATTTTACATGTATTATGATGAGGCAATAGATATATAAGTCGTCTTTTGTTTTGCCATCGGTTGCTTACTGATGGCATCGCTGTGAGTGTGATTGATGGTCACGCCCATCTTTCACTATCCAATCATCGACAACTTGACTTTGTTATGACAACAGAGAATGACAATCTCTAGTAATCACTGATGGCGGTTCCATCGACACACTCCAGACTCAGATGACAATTGACTGCGGCTGATGGCGTCAAAGCGTTACGTAACCGATGGTTGAGCCCAGTTTGGCAAACGATGCTCTGCCCATTTCTAATGGCACAATGAGCAGAGTGAATCAAAACTTGAATGATTGCGCAGTGATGACAAGAAACTGTGATTGACGGCGAAATGAAAGATGACCATACTTTAGTGTTTCATCAAAGTTAATGTGCAAGCTTCATACTTGACAATACACAGATGTTACTGCTCAGTTCGAAAAAATCCATTGTTGCAATCTTTGCAACAATCTTAAGGTGCTGTTCATAAAATAAATACCGTTAAATTTAAGATTTTGTGACTCCTTCCCCGGGGAAGGACCTTCTTCCTCGTAACACTTTTAAAAATTTAAAATTTACTTTAATCTCGATTTTTTCTTTTTCTTCCAGTCATAAGTTTGCTGTATGGACGTGGAATATGTGGAATCCTTGTGATGCTGCTGCAATAATATTTTTCTTGTTTGGGCTCAGTCTGAGGCTAAAACCATCTTCCAGACCTGCAGGAAGGGTAATTTTTTGTGTCGATATCATCTATTGGTATCTTCGTATTTTGAATATCCTAGGTGTTAACAAATATTTAGGTGAGTTTGCTCCTCTTGCGTTGCTTTATCTACACCTCTAGCATATTTTTTAGCCAGTTTCTTCTCATAGATTCAGAAACTTGAAATTCATCAAAATAAATAGATGAATCAAATCAATATGGAGAGACAAAGCTAGGTGGAATCCCTACAAGATACACATAAGAAAATGTAATCTTAATTTAAACCTGACAGTTTTGAGTCTGAAAAACGGTCGATTGTAAATCCTTAATCCAGGCCGTTTTTTCGCAAAAAATTGTTGCAAAATCACACTGCTGAAATTCTTCTTTGGCTGAACATTTTTGGGCATTTATCGTACAGAAATGTTTGTAAACTGCTCTCATGCAGTGGTACCAATTTTTCCATGTTGGGTTTTTCGGCAGTAAAGTCTTTTTTCCTGTGAATGGCTTTATTGGTAGCAGATGTCGTAAAATGTGTATCTCAGATCGCAATTTTTGTAAGTTCCTGCCCATGTTTTATTGTGTTAGTGGGAAACCAACCAACAGTTTCAATTGAAATTGCGTGTGAATTTTTTTCATTCAGTCTCGAAAAATCACACAAAATTGCTAGGAACAATTTTGCTTAGTTTACCGGCAAGAAATTAAAACATTATCAGACATTTTTAATCGATACAATTAGAGTAAGTTTTTTTTGCATTTAGCCATTTATAAATGAATGTCTGATTCCTCATCATCTCCTTTTTTTAATATCTCAGTCACCTCATTCACTGGTGTAGTTGTGCGGTTCAAGGATTAATTTTCTTTATCTTCCTCTTCTCTTAATTTTTCTGTCTTCTATTTTAGGTCCTTTGGTCACAATGATGGGAAAAATGGTCAAGAATATGATTTATTTTGTCGTCCTGTTATTAGTGGTACTAATGAGTTTTGGAGTGTGCCGCCAAGCAATCCTCTTTCCGGAAAAAGATCCTTCTTGGTCCCTAGTTCGTGATATTTTCTTCCAACCCTATTTCATGTTGTACGGAGAAGTAAGTAGTATAGTCTCTTACCAATAACATTGAAGTATTTAAGCACCTAAGAACCCTTCATAAGCAAAACGATACCTACAATGAGTAGTCGATGAACGATAACAAGTCAATATTCATACCACGATATTGTGAAATATTCTCTTCATCTCATAGAAATGATTTTTCGCAATAACCAACGATTCATTAAAATTTTCTGCTGATATTTTATTGAATTTGGGTAGTTAATGAACGCTTTCTCCTCTTTTGGTTGTAATTTATCTCAGCGTGACAAGACACCGAAAATTGATGTATCACACGGCAAAGCCAGGGCTATGTTGGGTCTCGTCTTGTCTTGCCGGTTAAGTCAGAAATATCTGGTTTCGACAGTCAGGCTGCAGGATAAATGACGAGCAACAATTCTGTTTCTTGTATGTCCATATTTTTTACTTTTTATTTTACTCCACTATGTAGCAATTGAAGGTTCAGCAAACCTCTGTAAGACCAGCTGTAATCTACAAAACCGATAGCAACAAAGAACGAAACGAAATTAATGGGAGACCGTGGTAACAAACTGTGAGCGAATAAATGAACCAAAGATAACTGGATAATTAAAAAATTTAAACTCAAAAAAATTCAAGTAAACCGGCTGGCGCATTTCGGGGCTCCCCAACCCCTACCTCTGTTGGAATTCAGCACTGAAGAAGGAGCAGGGGAGTCTTGAAACAAGTTGGCGGTTTCATTTTTATTTCAGTGAGTTTGAGTTTTTTAATTTTCTAGTGTCCTTCATTTTAGTTGTAATCTCTCTATTTTTATTTTTCTCAAACCCAAATTTTTACTTGGTGCTGATGGAGATTTTGCTTTGTGCCTGGAGATGATTCCCAAGCTCTGAACATTTTTGCCGAAGAGATTACTTCGATCATTGTGTGTCTGAATACAATTTTCTGTTGTGTTGAGAAAAATTGTTGTAGGTAACATGATTTTGATTTGTCAACGCCCTCAATTGCAGGAAACTAAAATCAATTTTCATTTCTTTATCTTTCTGATTTGAGTTTTATTATTGTTTCTTCTTCAAGTTCAACCCTAAAGTTTTTCCTGACGTATATAAATACATGTACACTCATCTACCTAAGATTCATTTTCATTGTAGTTTTTGTATCATCATCCACAGCTTCCTTCCTTATTTAGATTTATCTCATTCTCTTGATTCATCCAAAATCCGAATTGTGTAATGTATCTACCACTACATTAATTTGTCTGGACAAAATTGAGTGTCTCCATCGTTGCTTTAAGAACTTGTTGCACTGTTTCCTTTTGTTTAACACTCTCTGATGGATTTTTGTTCCAGTTGTTCGTTTTGGAAAAAAAGGAGGTAGAAAATCGATGTCTTGATGTTTTGTTGTTGTGTTCTTAGCGCATCATTTTCTTTTTCTTTTTTTGTATTTTTCTTTGGTCTGTGGATTAGTCTTTATAAAATTTTGTAAAAATTCTAAATACAAGAGGTCACACGAACAGTTTTTATTGCCAATCCCAAAAAGTGTAATCATTAATGGTGAATGAAGGGAAAATGAAAGTTTTTGCTGTAAGCTTTTGATGTTTCAAAATTGCGTTTAGAAATGCAGGATATATCGTCGTTTTGTTTTTCTATTTCATCTTTGTTATAGGTTTCAGAATGAAGTTACCCACAATGGTTCGTAATTTTTCATTTTCACCAAGGTCATTTTTTTACCCTAATGATCTACTGGTACATAGTAGCGAATTCCTAGTATCTTCTTCACATCATTTTTTTACAATGCTTCCTCTTTAAAAACCTCTATAATTGACTCATCATTATATGTTAAATATGATAAGTCAATCAGTGAAAACAGAGGAAATACTTCTTGGCCTGTTTTTATAAAGAGACTTTTCTTTAAACATAATTCAGGGATATTTTCCAGAATTTATTAGGGATATGAGTTTTTAAGCATTTTTTGCTGCTTATTTTTGCTAATTTTCTCTCGAAAGAGGAGGAATTCGAATTTTTCTCAATGTACCAAATTGAAAGTTCTTCTTAACTATGTCATCAACACAATCTTTATCTTTAATATGTGATGGAGGGCGTTGACTGAGTTGTTACATTTTTTCCTTCTGGTTTATTGTTTTACAAGATTTCCTTCATCACAGTTTTCAAACTCATTTTGCGTCAGATGTTTTTTTTAAACGAAAGATGTTGAAAATTTGTTTAGAGTTTTCATCTGAAAAAAAGAGGCTGGATGAAAGTAACTTCTCTTTTATAGAAGCTGACATTTCATTTTGTACGAAATGCATGCATGGAGATAGCAGTGTGTGCTTTTGCATGGTTCCTGTGAAAAATACTTTTAATTTATTAAGCGCAAGCACAGTTCCAATTTGGTAAACTCAAAAATGCCAGGGAGTGCAGCAAGTTTCCTCCTTCATTGTAATATTTCCATTTTTTCTCATGCTGAAGCTTGCAGATTTGAGTTAAGGAACTTGGTCATTAATGCTGATTGTAGCACAAGAAACTGCGCTGCTATTTTAAGTTGAATGACTTGTAAAAATTCTAGGTAGAACAACTCAAATACAAAAAAAAGGCCACTGTTGTTGTTTTTTTTTGTTCATAATTTTTTTTTCTACCAGTGCTTATTCTGCAATATCCAATTTTTAATTTTGATGTATGTAGTTTATAAATTTTTGATGTGTATTATCCACAAGAAAAGTGACTTGTGTGCCAAAAAAACTGAATGATGAGTTGGAACAAGGTTAAGATTAGAAGAATCCCTTAGACTTGTTATCAAAAATTTCAATCAAAATCAAAGAAGTAGCTATTAGATAAGTTGTAGCAGTTAAAAAAAAAAGTCCTTTAGAGAATAAACTATTAAAAAGTGTCAATCTGTCATACCCGGCTCAAAATCAGCAAAGTAAAATGTGACTTGATGCATGCTTTTGATCAAATAAAAAAAAAAAATATTTGTATACACTGCAGGTACTGATATATCATTGTGAAACGCACAATTGTAGTAAAATTAGAACACATTTATTATTAAAAATAATCTAACCAGGTTCAAACTTATTTTAAGATACCGGTGAGCATGTTACATTAAAAAATTTAAATTCTGACTTTCAATCCAACTTAACAAAAGCTACCCTTATACAAAATTTTCTCTGGGTGCTCATAGGTTTCTCTTCAAGTAGACCGTCACATTTATGGATTGCTTGTGTCTCTGAGCCTATGAATTTAAAAGTACTAGAAGCATTTAATGACCATGTATGTAGCCAATGAAAAAAAATCCAGCGAGAAAAAAAATTCTACCTTTATTGGAGACGTATCACTGAAATTTAATTACGTAATACCCTTTTTCTCAATACCTTTTTCAGTAGAAAATCTAAAATCTGTATGACGAGAGACAATCAACGGACCTTACTGCAAGCCTCCTAACATGACCTTAATGTTGCTTTGGGAACTCATCATCCTGGAAGATGTTATGTATTTCTCAGCCATTCTATCTGATTGTTGTACATGCAAAATTTTACTTGGTGTGTAACAGTGTTTGATGTTTTTTCTCTTCTTTCAGAGCAATTTTTAAAGTGTGTGTTCTTCTGTGTGCAGGTGTTCGCAGACCAGATCGATCCACCGTGTGGTGAAGCCTCAGGGGAGCCAGAATGCCAGACCGGAAGGTGGATCACACCGCTTGTCATGTCGATGTATTTACTCGTTGCGAATATTCTGCTGATCAACCTCTTGATTGCTGTATTTAATAATATTTTTATCGAAGTCAATGCAGTTTCTCACCAGGTAACCCTATAATATTTGAGCTCTTTATATCATGGGCCACTCCAAGTTTTTTTTTTACATAATCAACTTAAAATTCACTGTTCATACGTTGTTTCACTGCTAAGTGTTTAAGAGTTATTTAAAAATGATTTGAAGTGCACCATAAGAATACCTTTATTGCTCCTTATTCTAATACCAATGAAGGACTTACCAATAATGAAGCTGAGTGAATTAAAAGTTAAATAGTTTTTTATAAACATTTCAAAGTGCTATATTGTAGAGAGAATACCATATAATTACTCCTTACTTATTCGGATTTCAATCCGAGACTTTCCAATCAATGAGATCCTTGAATTTTGTATTTTATGATATTATCTTGCATACAATTTCCTAAGAAGTAAAAATAGTACAGGCGAATTGGAAATTAATTCATGGGTGTTCAAAAATTTCGAGAGCTCAACCCTGACAGTAACAACTGATTTCTATCAATAGTGCTGTAAGCAAATGACTGAGATTGCCATTTGTGGTTAGTTTCAAAGATATAGTGTGTGAGCTTTAAAGTTATTATTGGATTTCACTAGCGTAACTTTACTTTCTGGTGCATTTAAAAAGAGAAACGCGCTCCAACTTCAAATTCTAATTTCAAGCAGTCTCTTGTATTGTCTTGGACCAGATTAAATATTTTGTGTCATCAATCATCCTCCAATGAAACAAGACTCACCTCTTATGTAAATGATTTCCAGGTGTGGATGTTTCAAAGGTTCACCGTGGTCATGGAATACGAGCAGAAACCTGCGCTACCTCCGCCTTTCATTTTTTTCAGTCACATAGTTTTACTTTTCAAATACCTCCGAAGGAAGTGCAAAGGGGTGCAGGAAACCTATGACAATGGCCTTAAACTCTTTTTAGACAATGAAGATTTGGAGAGGCTGTATGACTTTGAAGAAGAATGTGTGGAAGGCTACTTCCGAGAACAGGAAATGAAACTTCAAGCCTCTACAGACGAACGGATCAAACAGACCAATGAGCGGGTAGATAACATCAATCAAAAAGTAGAGGATATAAATCAGAAAGAAAACAACCAAAATTCTTCTCTACAGGTAATTTTTACCACCAGATCCATGATCTTGCCTCTTCATTCTAACATTTGTTTCAAAATAGCACTCAAGTCTGCCAAAGTTTCACAAAAGAGATTAAGATTTAAGAAGAGAGACTAAGATTTACAATCTTTCTTTAAGTAAACTTTTTGGGTTTTTCAAACATAAAATTGACGTATTTCTATCAAACAGAACTATGTGAGGCAGGGAAAGATGGGGTGGGGTGTGCTCGCGGCGTGGTGGATAAGAAACAATGTGGTCAGTGGGCATGATTCCTTTCGGTGAAATAGAAAAGCAGGAATTTGAATTCAGCAAACAGAACTATGTGCCAATTGAATTCGGGACTCATGAGTCGTGGGCATGCAAAAAGAGAGTTGTGGACAGGGCTCATGAGTTAAAGCGGATAAAGGGCGACAATGGAGATGGCTTCATTGCCGCTGACGTCACTGGCGCTTTATTATTCCCATGCATTCTTACCGCCCAAGAACTAAAAAGCACACCCAATCTTTCACACCTGCACATAGTTCTGTTTGGTAGAAATACGTCAAAATAGTCATACTCTACCAGTGCTTATATGGTCCTTAAAAATTGCTCCGACTGATGTCCAATAACTGAATGTCTTCCTTTCAAAAATGTCCAACTCAGATTTGGAAAATTTTTCAAGAAATAGACAAAATGTAGCTGAAGATCTAGGAAAAATCCCCGGTTGCAGGGAAAGTACAAAAACAGCTAAGATTAACTGACAAAAATTTGGTAATACAAGGCAGGAAATTTTGACTCAATACTTTTAAGGGTACTAGAAAGCATTAATAATCAAAAATTATAGGTAAATTGATTTGTATTGGATTTTTTTGGTGTATTGAAAAATGTTATCCTCCACCTTAAGTTCCATTTTGCCTGACTGCACATGTGAGACCAAGGCTAAAAAGAAGTGCTTTCTAGTGCTTAAGTTTAAGCTGGATACATCATTAATGAGTCCTATACTTGTAAATTCTAGTCAATAGGTCAATATCTCATGAGAATATCGTTCTTTTATGGACTGTGAGCCATTTTTTGATTTCCAGTCTGTAGAGTTCCGACTGCGGAAACTGGAAGAATCTCAGGAACAAACCCTTTCAACACTAAGTGTCATCCACCGATTCATGGCCTTACACAGCAGCAATAATAGCAGTGGAGGCGGAGTTCTCGAAGTACCTGATATCCCCGAACTGAAAATCGGCCCAATTGAAAGGCTGCGGCGGTCGAGCGAACGCTCCGATATCCTGTCAGAAACTTCTGACATTCCTAGTCACTTTACAAGCGGGCTCTACCATCGTAAAAGGCCGCCAGTGAGGTCAATGACGGAGGTGCGTCCTTCAGGGCTTCCATTATTCCACGAACACAGTCCGCATACGTTGCCAGTCGAAAGTGTCTTCTACGAGAGACAAGAAAGGCAGGGTAGAGAACATCACACGTCCGGAACAGACATGACTGAACTCCCACAGGTGTTTGCGGAAGAGGACGAAGATGAACTAGAATCAGACACAGCTGAAACAAGTGATAAGACTGTACCTGAGGTGAATTTTTTATTATTTTCTCTTATCTTCTCAAAAACTATGTGAACTTGTTTTTGCGGTTGTTCTCTGTTAGCGAGAGGAAGCATGCCCAGGATCCTTTTGTTGCTTCCCATCAAAGAGTGGTTATCAGTATTTGCTATTCAATCAATGCCTTAATGTTTGATGCTTTTTAATCTATACAGGGCTAAATTAACTTGACCTGTACATTAGAAAAAAGTCTATGGACAGTTTGAGAAATAGAATAAAAAATAAAACCACGAGAAGGAGAAGTATAATCAATTTGGAGAGGGCAAGTTGAAATTTGAAAAACCCTGACTCCCTTGTTAATTTTAACTAGCTCTTCCTCAAAGAAATAAAACCATTTCTTTTCATCTTTTAAAAGTGACAAGTCCTTGCTGTGACAAAATAAAAGATCAAATTTTAAAATTTTGTGGAATTTGTGGTAACCTTGTTTAAAAGAGAGAGAATAAATGCGTTATACTACTCTATAAGTGAGAATAATAATTAATATTCCAATGCAAACTGCCTGAGCTGAACACTTTCCTCCCCTCAGTTTTGTACGGGTACTCATTAGAGTTAAAAAATTTATTTTTGACTCTAGGTAATTATAATTTTTGGAACTTCTCGGCTTTGATTTCCCTGCGAAATGGTGTGGATCCAGCACCGTTTCTCCACGTTGTTGCTACTCTATAAGCAGTTATACCAGGAAAGAAACTTCAGCAAAGAAAATCTTTAACACAGAACTAACTTTTCTCTAAAGGTTTAATGAAAATTGCAATTTTGCTTTCAGCCTCCTGCATCAGACATTCCTACAGTCAGAAGAGGGAGCAAACAAAGAGGAATGTCTTTCTCAGAGGACGTGAGGATTCGCAGATCAAGCTGCAGCTCGGGAGATGTGCTAGTTCTTGATCCTGATTTGCTGGGGGGTATTGTTCGTCAGTTGAGTCAGACACACTCAGAACCGGGGGATAATTGTACGGAGGTATGTGTGAACCATTCATTTTTCCAGTGTTGCCTGCGGCCTTTTCAATTAATAACTGACTGTCAAGTGGATAGAGATAAGCAAATCAGTCACATCTACATTTCAATGTTTCAGAATTTCCTCCTCTTAATTTTATTGGAAGGCAACCAAAATCCCTTCTCGATAATGATTGAATTTTTTCTTGCTCCTATGATGGTTATTTCCCCAAAACTCTAAGAAAATATGTCGGTTGGTTTCCTTCTAAGAAATTAAAGTAGGCGATGACATTTTAAAACTCAGCACTGCAGATGTGACTTTCATGCTGACCTTTATCTAAGTCTTCATTGTTTCTGTAGAATGACCTGCTTATAGATTTTTTTATTTTCTTATTTTTTACATAATAGTTGGAAGCTTCGTGAATTTCATGAAACTCTGTATGATGAGGAAAAGTTACTAATAGTGCATATGGAACTTGAATTGTCAAGTCAAAGGAAACTGTAACAGTTGGCAGTTTTTGTCACTCCTCTGACGTTTTTGCGTAATTGCTATTTGAGTTGAGCTCCATTTTCCATAGAACTCCTTATTGTGTTTCAGATCTAAAGTGAAAATGGAGGTACGCCCTTATGTCTGAGAGCAATGTTTTGTATTATGTCGTAAATATTTGTTTTGTCGTGACTTCTCTTTTCTCTCTTTTTTTTGCGAACTTGATTCCTCACAATTCTAAGTTACTTTTTTTTTCTCTTTTCCAAACAGAGCACAAAACCGAACATTGTTGAACGAAGTGTCACCTGGGCAGAGCCAAGAATCACTGTCATTCCTCCTTCTACATCTGGAAGCAGATCTGTTCTAATGGCTATGCATTCTGAGTATACAAGGTATAATTATCAATTTCTTATCATCAGATAATTTTTTATCGTGATGGAATTACATCAAGTTTAAACATGGGTCCAGGCTTTAGATATGCATCCCATCATGCATTATCAAATTGTAATCGCTTTAATAACTAATGTAAGCATGAGAAAGATCCTTTGATTAGTTTGCTTGCTGAACGATGATACTCCTGAACATGGCGGTCAACACGCAACAGTTTTACGATGAAACTTTGATAAAAAAAACTCTCAGGAGACTGGTCCTAAGTTTCGACGTCTTTGCTAAAACATTTCATGTTAAACAATTCAGTTAACAATGTTCCGATTTCATTTTTGCGGAATTAGCCATATTACAAAACCTGTCAAGCGTACTGGCAGTTGTCTGCAGCATACGGTTGCCTTATCTGATGATTCACTAGGACATAACATGTTAGGCTGTCGAAAAAATTGACCTGAGAAATTTTAAAACCTATTAAATTTTATAAATATTACATGAACCCACACAAAACTTGCGTGTCATCCACCGATTCATGGCCTTACACAGCAGTTATAATAGCAGTGGAGGTGGAGTTCTTGAAGTACCTGTTTGTTGCAGTAGCTTGGATGGATTTGCATATCGATAGCGTAAGTCCGCAATTACATATCTCGTTTTTGGTGTATGAAAATCTCCGCCTTTATGTCATTTTTTTAAAGGAGAACCAATTGACATCATTCCTTGAAGTTTATGAAGAATTTTTTTCGCACAGAGAAGAAAAATCACGGCAGTTTTAAAGAATTGCCGTTGAGTAGTTTTTCATTTAAAAAATGAAGTATGACAGGAAGTCTGCAACGTCGCAAACCGAGTTATGTGATTGCCAACTCACACCATCGATATGTATCATTCGAGTGATTCTTTTACCTTCCTCACTAAAGAGTATTCCCTAACTTGTTTGTTGACTTTGAAATGATTTTGAAACTCGCCACAACATTATCGCTCCCATGTTATTCGCGTACCCCAAGCTCGTTTTTCAATTAACGTTTTCATTTTTTCAATTTCTCTGTAATATTCGAGAGTAGCACTCATCACACTTTATCGCTCTTATTTTTCAAACTTAGCATTACGGATGAGCTTGAAACTGTTTGTGGTCTATTATCACCTCCACGATCTCCACGACGGCTCTCTCCGCCAAGGCAGAGGCACCAATCAGAAATGTCAAACCCAGAGATGGCCCTTTATTTGGAAAAGGAACATTTACGTGGTGCTGAAGAGAGTGACTATCAGCTTCTTGAGGGGCTCATACATCAACGGCTGACGAGAGAACCTACGGATAGTGATAAATTTGACAACAATGCATTCTTCCTAACTGTGGACCAAGCCTCCAGCCCTGAGTTTAAGACCCATGTAAGTGCATATTCAACTTTTCAATTTGATGTACCAGTCTCACAACACCTTTTTTTTTTACTAAGATGTTTATTAATTTTCAACATAACTCTGTTATCATTGCAACATAGATACCTATTCCTTCAATCCTGTAGACATAATATTTTTCAACTGATGATGTTTTTAAGCATCCCATTAGCTCTTGACCAGTTGAAACCATTTTAATTTTCAGTCCTTAGCAGAGCCTGAATCATAATAATTATCCCATAGTTTGGATTTTCCCAAAATTGGTCAAAGCAATCCTTTGAGAGCTGTCAAATATGATCCAAAGATTGATTTTTGCTCCAAGACTTTCCTGTTTTTGAATAGAAGTTATCGCTTATTTCCTTTAGACTATCGTAAATTTAAAAGTGAGACATTGGACCTTGCATGGTTTTTTATAATGATTATCTTCTCTCCTCCCGTAGGAAAAGTCTTTTGCGGAACCATCAAAATATCATAAAAGAATTAGTCGCCGACAGTCCACTGGAGTATTCTTAAAGGTTCTTTACTTGAATTTTAGCATCTGTTGTCACTCAAAGTTCCAATTCGCATTGAGTGCTTGCATAAAGTTTTTTCCCCCTGTTTTTCGTTCCCTCTTTTTCATCCCTAATTTCTCCATTCGTATAAAGTTACGCACATCAATCTTTAAAGTGGCTCTGAGGGCTGATTGTTGAAATTGATAGACAAAGAAGACATAGGAAGGACGGAGCTATCCTGTTGGTTGAAATGGGTGGTTCTTATAGACTAATGGGGTAAATGATGGACTAACTACAGGGTCTCTCCTGAGGGCCGATTATTGAAATTTTGTGTTTGTCAGGCGGGCATAGTTGACGCTCCCCCGTACCCGAGTTAGCCGGCAAATTGCTAGAGATAGTCGGCTACCCTTCGACCCCGTAGACTGCCACCTCGGTGACTTTCTCGGGTTTCCTCCTCCCGCCTTTTGGCGGGATAGGCATCCCCTGATGTTGCCGCTCCACTGTGCCTGCGTCCTCGGTCGTTAGCCCACATCCTGTCGCGGCGGCAACGCGGCGGCAGATCAAGCGGGATCGGTGACGTGTCTGGTTTCGTGATTCCTGCGCCCCCCAGGATCCCGGAATGCGGACCTTGAGTCCGCGCATCCGGCCCTGGTGGTTGGCGGGGGCTGAAAGCGGGCCGGACCGGAGGAGCAAGTCAAAGTTGACTAGTGCTTCGGATGGGGTTGGCCGGCCGCGTCGCTCGCTACTCGTAGGGAGGGGCGCTGCGAAGTCTGAGTCCCATGGGTGCAGTGGGTAGGACTCGGAGCGCCGGCGTAACACAGGACTCCTTGGAGTCCTGGCCGGGTGCCACCTGGAATCCCCCACACATCCACGGGAGGTAACCTTTCCGCTTCAGAGGCTCCAGTGCTGACGGACCNAAAGGCACGACAAAGCAGCGATAAGACATAGCCGACCAATCACGCCTCGCCATTTAACCCATGTCATCTATGTCCGCCCGACAAACACTAAATTTCAATAATCGGCCCGCTGGGCTGTCTTTAGTCTATTACCTACCTCCTATGCCCATTGCAACCACTCGCCTTTACCATTAGGATCCCTCCATATCCCTCTTGTCTTCTCTGTATATAGCTTTGTCTATCAATTTCAACTATTAACCTGCAGCCTGATGTTTCGTGAGGTTTCATGCTATGTTGTGAAGAAACCTTTGAACAAATTTGATTTGATATCAAAAATGGATTGAATTCGGTCCGTTCTTGATAAAAATAAATGGATTCTATACAGACTCCGTTTCTTCTTCTGTCCTATGTAGCTTAATTAAATGTTTCCATTTTTGGATTTGAAAATGAAATTTTCAATGGAAATACCGTAAAGGGGAGGGGTGCAGAATCTTCCCAACCATGCAACCGGCTCAGTTGTGCACTGGTCGCAGGAAATGAGGGAATCTCCACAAGAAGGAGAAGTCGAGAACAAATGAGAGGAATGTTAATGAAATCAGGATAAATTAGGCAAACTTTGTGCCAAATACAGTGTTTTGGCAGTGAAAAAGTCCGGTTTTTTTGCATAAAGGTTATTTTTTCATCTTCTGAGGGAAGCGGTCATGAATGTTGTGCAGCCAAGATCGATTAAAATTGGGGGAAAAAGACCTGGGACTTTTTGCACCCCTGGAAAGAAAACCTAAAAAAAAGCTACTACCCCTCTTGTGCAACTGAATTGCATGCTTTTTTACATTAAGCCTTTGCGATGTCTAAATTCTTTAATTTTTTCCCATCACAACTGAAAAATCTTAATTATAACTTCATTCACTTCCTCTTGTTTCCAAATTGGATGTATTTCTGCTAAACGGAAAGGAGCGCCAATTCCAGTTCCTTTTAAGGATTTTAAAATCCAGGATAGCATCTTATGTCAAATAGAACTGAGCACCATGGAAAAGCATTGTGAGCATCTGACCAGTGTTCCAACCCCACGAGCGCCATGTCGCCAAATGCTCCTAAAAAATCGGCCATGGCCCCTAAAAAATGAAGACCCTGCGCCAAACGTGGCCCCTAAGAAATTGTCACAATCCTAAATTACGGTTTGATGATTTCAAGATTTTTGTCAGTCAGCCTGGACTGAACGCGCATAGCAAGCAGTTGCGCGCGGAACTTTGTCGCGGCAGCGGCTCAGCAGATCGAGAATCGTACTACTTATCGTACATACTATAGAATCGACCTACTAATTTTCATAATAGGAAGTCAGAAAAAGTATTATTTAATTGAACAAACTTTAAGTAAACTAAAAGCTCCTTGTTTTAAATCGGAATATCATTCCTTTGGCCTTTCCCTTTCCCAAGTAATGGCTGCGAGTTGCAACTTGCAAGTCCTGTAACTGTATAACTTGCGTAAAACTTTTCACTAAATGCGCCATGATATATAGGCAAAAATTCAATTTGGCCCCTAAAAAATCTTCAATGGCCCCTAAAAATTGAACTTGATGGGCCAAACGGCTCCTAAAACTTGGAGGTGAAGTTGGAACACTGCATCTGACGGAATGAGTTCGTGGTTAAGCTCCACCGGCCAATCCAACCTGCATCCCCCTTCTTCACTCTATGCTGCTTACTTCTGTTAAGCAGAAATACATCCAATTTTTATGAGCAAAAAATCTGTAATTTATATTTCTTGAGGAGAAATGTTGACCAATAGAGTAAGGAAGCAATGTTTTATTTTGCCCCTCAAATTTTTTTTTCCTTTTAATCTCAAATCAAAGGATGAGAGGAGTCCATTGAACCGATATTATTTCCTCAAGATCCTAGTGCCGAAATCCAAGTCTAAAGAAAAACAGAAACAAATGTGCCAGTAGGTGTACGTCCAATCTTTTGAGCCCAGTTTCATAAGTATTCTTCTGAGGCATACATATTTTGGGCTCCAAAGATTGAGTGCACCCTGAATGGTAGCTATCTTTGTTTTTCTCGTACTTCGGATTTAAGGAGCTTGGACCCCGAAGAAAAATATTGATTCCAATGTGAACATGAACCGCTAAGTACTTACTATTTACGATCTAGCAATTTCAAGTAGCTTTGCCAAACGTTCAGCCTTAATTACCTCAAATTTCTGAGGGTGGTTTCTTTCCAATCAATTTAATCAAACAAACCTCATCAAGTGTGATTGTAAGAACTGTCTTTTTATTCTTCCTCATTTTCTTTTAAATGACTCTTGATTTTTAAAAATCAGTTCTTACATATTTATAGAAAATAAAAGATCTATTTAACCCTTTTACCAGCAGTTATGGCCCTTTCTCGTTTCTTCCGAAGAATGAGCTTGCATGTTGCTTTCTCTCCTTTATGCGCAAGCCCCTCTATACTTGTAAAAGCAACCACATGTTGAATGAAAGATGAAAACCGTACCGTCGACTCTCGTTTACCCGGAAATGGCGTCAAGTGCAAATAGGCCTGGCCAAATCTTGAAATTAACAACCTGTAAATTAGGAGTCGTTTTTCTTCCGGCCAACGTAATTTCTGACCGTCAGTCAATGAACCAGGGTGTCATTGCTGAGTTTTAAAAAAATACCATTGCCATTGAAAAATTATTGCCTACATACAACTCTTCTAACTGAAATGAGCCTCGAATTATTATTTAATACCAGGTGTTGGTCTGTTGGTGTTCTACTGATTATCTAAACTTTTTGATCATCCAAACCAGCCTGATCCCGACTAGTTCAGATGATTGGGAGTCTACTGTACTATCATCACTTTTTTTTTATTTTTTTAAAACTTTTTCTTTGAACGTATATCCATTTAAAAAATAAACTCAAACCAAAGAGATGAAGAAAAACACATTCTGAGCTTACTTGCCTAGAAAAACTATAGATTTATATAAATTACATCCTAAGAGAAAAATAATTAGAGATTTAAAAACTGTTTCTTGAGTATTGCATGAAATATCGAATCAAATGAAATCTGTTTTTCATGGATTCTTCTAATCTGTATAACTTGCACTATTATGTACTTCCCTAATTTTCCGTTTTTTCCCTCTTCTCATTTTAAAATCAAGCTTTTCAAAAAATTTGTTGAAACTTTAAAGCACTCACCTCTGCGCACTGTACAATGCTGTATGTTCTATCTGAGCTTGTTCTCTCTATTGACTGTTCATCTATTTTATGCAAGGGTCATGAAGATGGTTCATATGCCATTTTTCAGTTAAAAGTTTTTCTTTCCCTGAATCGTTGATTTTTGTTTGGTTCAATGCCTCCTTCAACATTTTTTTGAGCTGAAGTGTTATCATCGAATTTCTCCTTTTTCTCAATGCATTCCTCAGTTCTGCTTTTAATGTTATTTGTTTCTCTTCTATTTTCTTGCTGATCCTGTACTTGCATGCGGCGGAAAACCTCAGTTCTTATTGTTGTCTCACAATTCTGGTACTCTACTCCAGGGTACGAGTCGGTTGCGAAGAAGTAGCGCCATCGAAATCGGTGATGTCTCTGCTCCTGTGACACCTGCGCAAAGCCCGGAGCCTAAATCTTTGTCTGGAATGCCTGATGCTCCCTCCCCATTACAAGAAACACCTCCCATAGACACATCTGAACCGCAGTTACCATTGCAGGCCCCTCCTCAGACTTCCTCTCAACCGCAGTCTCCTCAGCAGCAGCGTCCTGCTCAGCAGCCTGTCAAACGATTGTCAAGGGCGGACAGCGTATCAGCTCCAAATTCAGAAACTATGTGCTAGAATAAGTTATAAGAAAAATGTGCGCGTTCGTTCAAAAATCTATTCAAATATTAATTTCTGCGCACAATCCTTGAGTACCTACTTCCATTGTTTCTCACAATTTGTTAAAAAGAATATTGAACTTTTTGGAGGTACGAGTGAATTCTTCAAGAAGATGTCATTCTATGTGAGCAGTAAATTTTGGTCTTTGGCTTGTATCAGGTATTTTAAAATATTTTACCTTTTTTTAAATGAAAAATTTATACTTTTTGATGAAGAATATTTATCTTTTAAGTACAATTCAACTTCCATTGTTTGTACATAGATCGTAGGTACCCCAGTCTTTCATGTGTTTAATTAAATGATTAATATTTAAGTAATTTTCTCTTTTTTGTAATTTTGTTTTTTAAATCGTAATTTATGTTTACATATTGTATAAATTTCAATGTGATTCCTGTGTTTAAAAAGTGTAAAAAAGTTTTAGCTTCATTTTTGATACTTCTCTCTTCCAATCAACATAAACTAGACCGATTTCCTGATCCCTGATCCCCCTCCACACACCTCAATGTAATAAAAAGGAAAATTTCCACGTTGAAAGTTGATCATTTATCCATTCATCAACTTATCATTGGCTTATTTTTCTATTCTCTTATTGTAAATTCATCGTAATGAGTGTTAGTTGTAGGTACATTTTTTTTATCCATTTTCAAACGAAGGAAAAAAACTGCCATATTGCTTGAGGACCCAGCAGACTTTTTGAGCATTGTCTCGTATCATAAATTCTAAAACTGCCGGAAACACCATTTCTCTAATTTTTCTCTGTGTGAGGGCAATGTTATGATTTTCCCCTTAGAAATGTTTTTATTTCGTTCCATCCACAGTTTTTCATTATTTTCTTCACGATAAACTTTAACATTGCTCAGAATTCTCAAAAGTTAATGATTACACTTACGGTGGAACCTTTGCTATCAGCGGCTGGATTATCTGCCGTTCGGATTGTCCAAGGTTGTCTGTTGTAATGATATTTTGTTTCTCTGGATAAAAAAAGGGATAAAGAGGTGGTCGGACAAATAATGACTTTCAAAGTTTCTTTATGAAATGATCATACTCACCTAAAAAGGTAAAAATCATTGTCTTGCTCAAGTTTGTTGTGCATACTTATTACTGTACTATTTGCGAAAAACAACCCACACAGCCCTTTTTCTGTCCACCATTCGTATATTCACATTAATCGTTGTACACTGGTCTCAATTACGGTGAATAACCAGGACTATATTGTCCAATATTTTCCTAACTATAATGCCCTGTATTAATTTTGCATGAAATTGTGATGAGAATCTGTAAACTTCATTTATAAGGAACATATGTCCACCAAACTTCAACCGAAAACTTCAGATGAGCTCTGTATGGTTGAGAGTAGCTAAATATCTCATTAGTATCATGAGACTTGATTTAGCTGAGATAAAGTTTGCCGGATGAGAGTAACCAATGCGAGTTCGCTGAATTAGATCTACCAAAGTTTGGTGGGAGTGCGTTTATAGCACATATTTTCAATGGTGGAGATCAATATGAAATCAATCTCACCGTCAACCATTATTTCCCCAACGTAATTTTCATGGTTCCTCTAATTTTAGAATCTTCTGAATCACCGAAAAATCTCCATCTGATCATTGGAAATGATTATTTTTGCAAGCAACCCACAAGCATCAAGCATTGGTTATTTTTGCAGTGATGCTCTTAGATAAATCTCTCGATGGTGGAAATTTGTATTTACATCAATAGGACAAATTAAACAGAATCAGTTCAACTCCATCAGACATTGCCTGTTCGTCTTTGAAGTTTTATTTTTTTAACAGAAGTTAAGCAACTCTGAAACATGAATTTTTGTTAGTATATCCTCCATAATTTAGGGTAGATTCACAAAAAGCGTGAAAGCCAGTTGCCCGGTAGCCTTTGGTAAGATAGGCTTATGTTTCATTTGGGTGTTGCAGAGCATCAGAGTGCTCTGTAGTAACCTGTATGTATGTGTAAATAGTTTAATTATCCCTAAAAAAATAGAATGTGACAGCAAATAGATAATGTGAAGTACAATTGGGCTGATTCTGTTTTAAAACGTCCAATTAGTATACTAATCTCTTTTTCTTACAGTTTTCTGCTCCCTTCTAAATTCGTAGGTATTTTTACTGAGCACAATTTTATAATATTTTTCAATTTAATTGTAAGTTCTCTCAAGGTATAGTACTTGATTGAAAAGTAAAGATTAATTTAGGATACCCATTCAGTGTGTATTTTAGAGGATATTTTCATCACTTCTAATGTGGCTGAATTCTACCAAATAATTTGTTTTTTTATTTTTTTAAAGGTTAAATAAATTGTTTGCGTGTACATGTGAATGTATCTTCGCTTCATAAGTGTGTAATGTAGGTATAACATTGTTACAGGCTCTTGCCAAAATCCATCCTAGTTTATAGATCTCGACAGTGGCTGTTTTAGTGTCCTGATAGTACGAAGGAGGAAGCCCTTCAGTGAGTCTTTATGCAGCTCTACTGAATCCCTATCAAAGGGGCAAGCAAATATTATTTTTCTCCTTGAGTTACTACCCATATCTTTCAACTAATTATCCCTGTACATCCTCAGCTTGATGAATAGTGCAAAAGTGAGGTCTCGGTAAATCTTTGTTTTTATGCGGTTTTTAAGTCCTATCCCTTCCCGGTGCTATTTATACAATTTATATTTCAATTTGACCTGGGCCCAAATTTTGTCACCAGGTTTGCAACTAATTGCAAGTCAAGGCAAGAATGTTGAGTTAGACAATCGATCGCTGATTAATGGTTTGCTTGGATGAGAGACTGAAGATAGCTGGAGCCTGTTTTATACAAATCTCAACTTGCGTACAGCTTGAGTTTAAAATAAGTACAGCTTAAAGTTGAATTTAGGAAGCAAGTCTTGCAACTTGTGGTAGACCGTAGCCAACAAAGTTCAGGCCCAGAATTGCATCCAAAATCAATACTCTGAAAATCTTTCATCTGTATTTTTGGTCAGTGTTGCTTTCATGGCCATTAAGTACACTGAATTTTTATTTTCGATCGGAAAACTTCAAAATTTTTCTGAAGAAGGAAAATTTCTATGAATTTTTCAACATATTTGTTGTTTGGAAAAGTATCAAAAAAGCTAAATACATGAAATGTGCATGTCGATTGCAATATTTAAACATCCCTAATTATGATCATTCATTGAGGAATATTTTCTTCAAGGAAAACTAATAAAAATGTCACCTTGCAATTTCGTATGGGCTTTTTTACTTTTACAATGAGTGTGAACATTTTAGAGTACCTAATTGAGTGAAAATCAGGTGAAAGTATATTGGTTTAACAAGAAATGAGGAAACTTCAACTCTCAGGGGGACCTCAGGAGGATAGGGGTCTGTGGCGGTTAGGTGTTGCAGAGCGCAAGAAAGAATTATAAAAATGACCCTTATGTTAGTATATGAAGAAAATTCACTGAGAATATGATTAGAGATTGTTGGTCAGTTTTCCTCTAAGAAATTAAAATATGCTAACAGTGCTGGAGTCTGAGATACCTATGCATTTTTCAACTTTAACCATCCATAAGCTAGCATGAATTTATAATATTTACTGATCAAAATTCGTTTCCATCTTCTTTTTTTCTTCTTTTTTTTTTAAACTTTATCGTTGAGTAATGTAAAGTGAATTATTATTCTCACACTGTTTTCACCATGTATTTTTCTCCTTTTTTTTGCCTATAGTTAAGGGTTATTGGTCCAAGATCAACATTTTATTAAAAATATTGTCAAGGAAAACGAATTTATTTCTACATCAGAAGTTATAACAAGAGAACAGAAACCAAACTTGTCCTTAAAAAAAGTTTCAGCAAATTGACAAACCTATGACAACCTATTCATATGTTTCCTCAAAACTTTTTACTGTTAATATTAGTACCTGGGAGCGATATCACCAAATTCGGTATGTCTTGTAAAAAAATTTAACATCAATGCATCGTTGCTATTGTGCCATCAACAATGTTTTCCATGATCAATATTGGTTACGCATTTAAGCCACAAGTGTCCTATCACAGTGAAACAAAGGACTTCTCAATTGAATCAGTGAGAACGAAAACACACCAACTCGGTTACTCGAAAATGCTCAATATTCATTAAAGACAGTTAATTTTCATAAAGGTCAATGAAGTTAGTGCATCTGTTCCAACTTGGACCTTTAAAGTGTCCTTTCGTACTTGTCTTTTGGCACAAAAAATATTTTTCTTAGACCAGCTTCTTCACCTACGGTATAATTTTGTGCGTAATGATTATTTTCATTTTTTCGAGTTGGTGTGTTTTCGTTCTCTTTGATTCAATGGACCATTAGACAAGGTACGAATTTAAGTAATCTGGTACATGTTTCTTAACCAGAATTTCACGTAGAACACGATTCGCGCAACGAAAATTACTGAAACCAGCTCCTGATGAAGATATTAACTTTTTTATTTCACATTGGTTACGCGGATTTTGAACTGCCCACTCACAAGAAACTCAAAGCTCTACGTGAGTCCAATCGCGCACCACAACAGTTTCAGCTAGCCTCTCAATCGATCACTGTTCATAACCCACCATGTGTTGTTCAAATTATAAGCAATTTGCCATAGCTGAGCCCGCAAGCGTCAAAATTGAGGTTGCCAGATTTTTATATCGCAAAGACTCATGATAATGTTCAGCGCGCGATGTGAATCACGTAGAGCATTGAGTTTTCATGAGCGGGTGGTTTGAATTCACGTATCAAGAATCATTAAATATCTTCGTAAGGAGTTAATTTCGGTAATTTTCGTTGTGTGCATTGTGTTTTACGTAAAATTTTGGTCAAGAAACATGTATCAGAATGCTGAAATTCGTACCTTATCTAGTGGTTCATTGAGTACATGTTAACAATAATCATTCTTAGCTGTTTACGGTAATGACATTCAAGGATTTGAATGTCTCAAATGACGTTGAATTTCAATTTTCTTATCTCATTGTATCAGTGATGATTGCATCCATCAATTCATATGTCAGACTTTATAGAATGAAATATTGCTTTCCTAGCTTAGGGAACATGGATTTTCTGTTACGGTTCTACTTTAGTAATACCGAACTGATGGAAATCATGACCACTTATTAACACTGTCTACTTGGGTAATCATAGCTGGCACGCTGTCAAAAGACGTGTACTTTTTGATCATAAAGTTTATATTTTCAATTTCAAAAGACCGCTCTAATTGCAGGTCCTAGTGCTTACAAAGTATTAGACTATTCAAACTCAAAAATTTCACTCCCTGGATTTTACCTTCTTAAATGAAATTTATTTGAAGGAAAACAGTGTCTGATCTTACTTTAATTTTTTCTGGCCATTTAATATTTTTTGAAGTGCAGCACTGCTTTACTTTCGAGAATCTGGGTTGAAAGAAGTTTGGTATGGGCTATTGCTTGACGTGCTCCAATATGAGAAAAACTGGCGGCGTTATGATAACAAGCCTGATTTCTTTGCTCACACCAAACTCTCCTCATTAGAAATTCTCAAAAGCAAAGGGTGCTCCAAAAACATGAAGTGACTGAAAATAGCTAAAATATTGGTCGAACAATACACAGCCATAAAGTTAACTCGCTCAACTTACTAAGAAATAATGACCTCACACTATAAATGGTTATGATCGAAGTGATATAAATATTTTACCAACCAAAAGAGTTACCATTGGGCTCATAATTCATGTTTTCAAAGTTTTCATTTCTTTCTATTTCAGTCAAATATGTTTGTGATCATTATATTTTTTATTTTTTAGAGGAGAATAAAACCTATTGAGCACCACTGGGCGCTGAGAACCGAATTATTTGTAACTTAAGTCGGATATATTTAGTGTTACTTAATTTTATGTGGGCTGTAGCAATTTTTATCGAAGATTTTTTCAAATTTCTCAGTGCGCTCTTTCTGTTTATTTTCTTAGGCTTAGTAGTGACTCCAAAGTCACTATTTCTTTGCGAGTTTACAAAAAAATCTAAGGGCAGATGATGAAAATATGAAATTATACCTGATTTTCAACATGTATTCCTCCAACATAATAGTTTTATCTTCTTTCAATCCATCTATCTCTTCTTAAAAAATACAAAAGGGTTGTCCTTACATAAATCATTTTTACAAGAAGGTGTGTATGTATTATTTAATTTTAACTATCATCTATCCCACTTCTTGCAGGAAACCATTTTGTCTTCTTTCTCATTGAATTTTTACCTCAAAAATAAAGTAACAAAACGAAAAATCAATGTTTAGAACGGATATCAGCATAAAAAAATTGTTTTTCAGGTGTGAATGATGGATCAATTTTTTGGCCTACCTAGTCCAGTGCTATCATGGAACTATGAAATTCAAACATGTTTTAATTTTTACTCAAATAGGAGCCACTTTATTTTTTCTATTTTAAGTCAAGCTTTCAACTTTTTGCTTTCATTTTCTTACCACACACATAAGATTATTCCAAGTTTTGTGAAAGAATAGTGTGAGGCCTCCTTTTGTGAAAAATGAAATCGTTGAGGAAGTATAATTGTCTAAAATTTTCGGTCGTATACCTACCTAAGTTACGATTCATACCCCAGGTACCTTCTGTCATAATTTTTCATCATCAGTTAATTTGCTTCCTTTTAATTTACTTTTATCCATTTGTAATGATCCTTAGAATGTGTTATTTTGAATTAAGAAATGCCAGAGTGAGAATAGCTAAACGAATAAAAAAATTAAAAAAAAGTAAGTGAAAATATTTAGCACAAGGGTTTTACAAATCCGAAGTAATAACCGGTATTTTCTACGTAAACTTCTCCGTGCATGTGTAGTGCTGATGCATGGTTTCTATCTTTGTCTTTTTACTTATCAATTTTATACCTATGACAATCATTCTGTAGTAGCAATTATTGATTTATATATTTTCTTGTTACTTGTTGTGACGTATGTAGAGGATGATTAAATTTTATCATTTCCAATACAGGTCTTTTTATTTATTTTTTCATTATTTCCTCATTCACATTAAATTATTAAATACATTTTTCATGGAATTTTGCCCAGTTTCTGATAAGTCAGGAAAAATTAGAGAAATTTGCTGCAGAATTTATTTCCACCTGCCAAAACATTGAATTTTCTCATTTTCAAGATAATTCTAGCTTAGGAGTAATGGCGGTTACCTACATAATTAGTAGTCATTTTCGGGATTTGACATCCACAATGAATTTGTGGAAATATTTTTAGTGGTAATTTACACCATTTGGCAATGCTTTCATGATGAAACATGGCTCATCTGCTCTAGGATTTCATGAAAACATGATTGTAAATGCAACGTAGAAAACCCTTAAGAATTAACAAACGCAGCCATACAAAGTTCCTAAGAAAACTGGAGCGCCTGCAATTTTTTGTACATGCAACAATTGTAACACGGACATTCTGGACGGTTCGCTAGCGAAAACAGCAGTGGGAAATGACTCCATCGATAGTTACTTCAATTGCCAAAAAGCTGCAACCACTTTTCCAACCGAATTTTACCAAAGAAATCTGCAAGGAGACACACGACGGCGCAAGTCCACAATCACGTATATCGTTTACGGTGTCTGAAAATCTCCGCCTCTATGTCATTTTTTTAAATGAGAACAAATCGACATTATTCCTTGAAGTTTTTGCAGAATTTTCTTCACACATGCAGAGAAGAAAAATCACGGCAGTTTTAAAGAATTTCCCTCGAATAGTTTTCCTTTTAAAAGATAAAGTATGACAGGAAATGTGCAACGTCGCAAACCGCGTTAGGTATGTGATTGCTGACCTACACCGTCGATTATCAGGGTGTCTAGCATCAGGAAAAATCGGAAAATATCAGGAATTTTGGCCGATCAGGAAGAAATCAGGGAAATCGACAAAATCGGACGTTTTAGCAGGAATTTTTCTTACGCGAATCTCCTCAGCAGAGAACGTCTTACTGCTTTTTGCCTACCGTGTCAGGAGTCAAGAAAAATCAGGAAAATATCAGGAATTTTCAAAATGAAAAATTCAGGAATTTTTTAAACTATATCCGAATTTTTCAAAATTAAAAAATACTAGACACCCTGAATTCATGTTTTTCCTCTTTTTTAAAAATCTTTATTAACGGGACACAAACGCCTACAAAAACGCGGAGTATTTACTCAAGGCTTTGCCCGCCGGTGTGGAATTCACAGCCGCCTTCAACAGTGCAGTCCCTAAACCTTTATAATTGACGTCATACTGAGATTTCCCCTCCTTGTCCGTCGTCACACTGACATTCTCAGCCAGTGCTTCCGCAGCACCTATCGCGAAACGGCCCGAAGGGTTCATCTTAGCTATGTCCACGGCCGTGGCGGCAGCGTATTCTTGGTCCAGAACGAGTTTCCCGCTCTCATCCCTTTTGAAGAAACGGAAGCAAGGAGTAGCCGCTTCAACGAATTTTCTCAGGGTGGTTTCATCCGGAGCGCTGTTAGTCAAAGAAGTCAACGAGGGCAAAGATCGTCCGAAGAGCGAGCCAACTTTCGGAAACCTGCTCATGACACTGCCGACTGCCCCCGTGAGTCCCGTGACCGAACCCAGGATCTGCTGCGCGATAGGAAGCGTAGTCACTGCCCTCATCATACAATCCTTGATGGATTCCCTCCCTAGCGAGCCGCTGCCACTTCGACTGAGCATCGGCATGATGCTCCGACTTTGACGCTCGGAAGTTGTCGACTCGCCTGAAGAGAGCGCTTTGTCGCCCTCTTTTTGTGGGTGTGTAGCTTGCCACCGTAGCAAATTCTCCGCGAGCCATTTCGTTCGCGGATGAAGCGAGAGCAGAGACTGAAAGAAACAGAAGAAAGCGGCCGACCTCTTCTTGTTCGCAGGGAGGCCGCTCGATCTGTCTTGGCAAGACTCGGCGATCTCGATGATTCTCTCTCGGTTGAACACGGAGTCCGGGTGATCGATGTAGTACGTAAGCCATTTGCGGCCGTACTTAACCAGTAAATTATTGTTGAACCTAGCACTGGCCGTATCGATGAAACACTGCAAGTAATATCTGTTTATGTCCCTCCTGGTCGAGACCGTTTTCGGCATAGCGTCGTGGCAAGTCCTGGCGACATTTTGGAAGAAACCGTACGCCCTGGTTTTTTTCAACGCGGGGATTGCGAGGTCCTTGAGCGGGTGGAGTTGAGTCAGGAGGTTGAAGAAGCATTTGGAGAGTTCTTGCTGGGACACGACTCCTTCTTGCGTTGTCTCGCTGCAGAGGGCGCTCGCTTCGAGCACGCTTTTCACCGTGTAGAATCCCTGCCCTTTTTTGTTGATCAGATCGGATACCACGGCTCTGGCCACGTTTTTGACGTGAGGCTTGGCCGGCAATTTCTCGATGGCTTCGTTGATGATGCACTGAGTGAGTTGCTTGTCCGACGGCTGACCATTGCCTGCGGACGACGCGCATTGCGAGTATATTTTTTGGAATATGCCCGGAATTTCGTTGGGGTCAACTTTGCCGATCGGCAGTCGCCCGCTGGTCATAGCCTGCTCTACGCCCTGTCTCCATTTGTCGGGTATTGCGGCGGTGGAAGTTTGGCTTCCGCCTCTGGGAACCAGGGAAGGATGAGGGTCGCTCGATGGTTCGAGACCTGGCTCGGATACAATCAAGATAGTCCTCGGTTCGTGTCCATCCTTTTCGTTCGAGGAGATTATAGTTGATACACTGGTTGATCCCTCCAAGCACGAGGCCACCTGAAAATCAAGCAATAATTTCAATTACAGGTTTTGATCAGTTTGGTCCAGGGGTTGTTTGTTGTTTAAAGATCATGCCTGTTGAAACGCAAGTGAGAAAAGCGGTTTCAGGACATTCCGTCGACGATTTTTTGTTCGCGCACGGCGCACCTGTCTTGTCCAGTAGTTTGCGCCCACGCGTAAAATAAGCAACGGTGACTTGGTTCAAGCGTTATATTTTAGTTCGTATGTAAAATTATATTGACAATATCGAAACGAGAAATTTGAGAGAGAAGGATGTGTTGTCATGGTAAATCATTTTTTAAATAAGACCTTTTCCAAGCGATGACATCGATATGAATCTCAATCTCGATATCAATCTCAATCGTAGTTGTGTTGAAAGAAACTGTACAAAAATGAATAAAAGGGGGAAATAACCCCAAAAGCATGCAATCTTTGGTTTTAACCCACTTGTGCATTGATATTTTAGAGTCAAATACGTCCAATTTTGAGCGTTTGGTTGCGCATACACCACGCTGCAGCACAGTGAGAGCACAAACATATTAACGTGAAGAAAAAATAAAAGAGTGTGGAAATCATTAAATTTGACATGGAACCACCTTAATACTATTTATAAAACACACATTATATTTTCCTTTAGTATATATTGCTTTCATTTATTTAAATGAGAATAATCCATGCAGACTGTGCAAACATTTCACAATCATGAGTTGAAAAATACTGACTCCGCGAGTTTAAATATTAGAGCCTGACACAAAGCGAAGCGGCAGCTTGGCGTGCATGCCGAAGCAAAACTTGCATCGGCGCCTACAAACCTAACAGGACACTTCACGCACTGCGCAATGCGTGAAGTATCCCTGCCAATGCGAGTGTCGCGGCGGCGCAGCGTGCCACGGCGCTTCAAGCAACTATTTCACATCAGAGGTGTTGCACAGTATCATACGAAATTGAAGGCGCTCCAACATATTAAGAATGACAAGCATCCTTTAAGAATACGGAGATTTCCTTGCAAAATAAATCAAGATAGTACAAAACGAGAGCAGTAGTCCAAAAACTTCGTGAGTCCCAGCATCAGTATTTAGTAACGTTTCGCATAATTTTTTGATTTCATTAGAGAAAGGAGTGACTCAATTTAGGCGGAAACATTCTGAGTAAGCCGCTAAGAAGATTTTATTTTGAATCAAGAATAAAGGAGCTGAATGAAAGCAGGTTTTTGCTTGACGTAAGTAACTTTTCTTTTTATATAACCACCTTTTTCTATTAAAACAAGCATTGTTTTCTTCATTGATTCATAAGGAAATCTTCTCGGCGGTAAATTTAAACATAATTCTGCTTCAGGGTGCCTACTGGTACAGGTACCCTGTCACGAAAATTCCTTGCTTTATCGGTACCTTTTCCTTGTTTTTTCTTCGTTTTTTCGAAAATTCCATTTTTTTGGCGATTTTCGAAAATCCTTGATTTTTCTTTACCTTTTCCTTAATTTTTCTTTACCTCTTACGTAGTACGTAATTATGGAATGACAAAAGAATTAATCGAAAAACACTAGGAATCGGACTGGAAACTTGATAAATGAAGCATGTTAGGAAATTGCAAACCCCCGAAGGCTACTTTATAGAGTTCAACACGAAATTCTCGAATTTCCGTGCCTTTTCCGTGCTTCCGTGCCGAGCTTCCGCAACCCGTGCTTTTTCGGCGTTTTCGTACTTTTCCCGTACAGCACTGCAGTGCTGAGGAAAAGCGCCTTATAAACGTTCAAGAGTTGCCAAATTTCCTTCGATAAAATGTTTAGGTATTCCTGAGGAAAATTATGAATATTTCTCCTTGAAATTTTCAGAAGTTTTAGATCAAATTATAAACAAAATTATCTGAGAAATTGGTAGACAAATCTTCAAAACTTTCCCTGAAAATTATTGATTTGCCAGGAGAAATTTGGCAACGCCTGAAGGCTCATACGGCGTTCTTCCTTAGCACGGCAGAGCCTTCCACGGCAGAGCAGACACCCTATGCTTGAATCAAGTCACTTTTTCCTCCAGTAAAGTTCAAAAATCATGCTGAATGTCATCGAATACAAACACCAAGACATAGTGAGTTTTTCGACCACGGCTCTCTTTTTGTCGTCGTCACTTGATTTAATTTGTGAGGGAACTTCGTGCTTTTTAAAGATGCCACCAATCATGATACGTTGGGGTGCTTTCAATCTCGTATGATCCTGTGCAACACCTCCGTGGCGAAATAGTAGCTCCACTGAAAAAAATAATATGCTGTTTTGGCATCTGGGATGTCAAAAATGTGTCTGGTGATCCCAGGATGTTGCCTTTGCTGCTCCCGCAGTTGAATTTGCAGTCACAGGATGTAAAATTAACTGCGGGGGCAGTAAAGGCAGCATCTTGGGATCACCAGACACATTTTTGACATCCTAGATGCTAAAACAGCATATTATTTTTTTCAGTGTCGGAGCGCATCATTGTGGCACCTCTCTATGAGGCACCGTTTTCGCACAAGCCGCGCCGCGGTGGAAGTTTCAATATTTTCTTGAATACCCGAAGGCAGCGCGGCGATTCGACAAGGAATACCTCAGCCGTGACAGGTGATGGGAGTGAGAGAAAGAAAGAATCCGATTTCGACGGTGAAACAGAAGGCGTGCAGAACCCAAAATCAGACGGCCAGGTTTTCCTCGTTTTCAGCAAGTGCTGGAAGGTGTAAGGATATTCTCGGCTCGTCCATCGCTATACACTGCCCTCACTAATTCAATAGTCCAGGCAATTGGGCATCAAATAGGGGCTCTTGGGGAAAATTTCCCGGAAAACTTTTTGATGAGCGATTCCTATGTATTTTTGGACGCTGAATCCGAATTTCGCATTTGTGTAAAGATCTTCTCGCCGCTAAAGCCGCCATTTTGAAAAAATGGCCTAAAATCCCAATTTTTGAAAATATCTCGCTTATTTTTGATTTTCTGACCAAAGTAGTTATTTTCAAAAATAAACTACATAAAATTCTAAAGAAAACAGGTTCTTATCAATTTTTTGATTTGACTGAAATTTAAGCCACCAGAGCGCGCTGAAAAAACCGCCAAAATTCGAATTTCGCGAAACTTGCGCTTTTCTCGTGAATAATTTTTCTCAGGGCGACTCTACGTGAAAAATCTCAACTATCAAACTGATAGAGCAACAAATCCAATACTAGACTAGAAGTTGCTTTTTTCTAATTTTTTCTTAATCCTGGAGCACTGACAAGCTTTTGAAGTCGCATTGAAAAAAGCTGAAAAGATCTTTACACAAATGCGAAATTCGGATTCAGCGTCCAAAAATACATAGGAATCACTCATCAAAAAGTTTTCCGGGAAATTTTCCCCAAGAACTTCCCTATTGCCTGGACTACAAGTAATTATCGAAAGTTCCATCGCGGCATTCGCCGATTGCACGAAAACAGTGCCCAGCAGAAAGTCGGCGCAATGATAACTTTTGATCAGCATCCATCAATAAAACAATTTGACATCGATTGTGGTACTTATCCCCATGGGTATAGGTATAGGTATGGTACATGCATTCCACGTGTGCGGGGTTCTTTCGGGGGTCAAAATCGAAGGTTCTAGGGTCGGGCTGGGATGATGCCAGTCCCTTTTGATATGACCCACTGATTGTGAGTCTGATTATCTCATCGAAAATGCTGCACCAGCTCATTAGGGCTTACAATCAGTGGATAATGGGATGCGTGCGAAAGGGTTAAAAAGTGGTGTATTTGAACCTTTGAAGAGAGGAAATTCAAAACCTGATAATCACCTGTAAGTTTGTTTTATTCAGTCTTATAATCCCTGGTAAAAATTGGCGATAGGAGCTGCGTTCCAAAATACCATAGAAGTTCTTATAGCCGACTAAAGAAGGCTATTGAAAATCATATAGCCGGCTGTAGAAAGCGGAGCGAATTATATAGCCGGGCTATACGAAGCTATGAAAAAGTATACAGTCGGGCTATACTTCCTATCGCCGGGCTTTACCCTTTATCGCCATTGGCTATAAAAGGCTATAAGAAATTGTGTAGAAATTCGTGTACCTTGGAAATCATTAATTTTGATACGGAACTACCGTAATATTTACAGAACACACATTATATTTGCCTTTAAAACATATTTTTTTTTCATCAATTAAAATGAGAATAGTCCATACAGAGTGTGCAAAAATTTCAAAATCATGAGTTGAAAAATGCTGACTCCGCGAGATTAAATATTAGAGCCTAACACAAAGCGGAGCGGCGACGCACTGGCGCCTACAAACTTAACAGGGATACTTCACGCATTGCGCAATGCTTGAAGTATCCCTGTTAGGTTTGTAGGCGCCAATGCGGGTTTCGAGCTCCCTGCCCGCCCGCCGCGCCGCAGCGTGCCACGGCGTCTGAAGCAACTATTTCACACCAGAGGTATTGCACAGTATCATAAGAAATTGAAGGCGCTCCAACATATTAAGAATGACAGTCATCCTTCAAATGTACGGAGCTTTCCTCGCAAAATAAATCAAGATACTACGGCACAAAAAGAGAGCGGTAGTCCAAAAACTAACTGAGTCCTAGTATCCGTATTTAGTAACGTTTAGCATAAACTTTATCGTCTGGCTGTTGCTTAATCGCCATTAGCTATAAAAGGCTATAAGAAATTGTACAGCCGGCTACAGAAGCTATTGAAAATCTTACAGCTGGCTTTAGGTCTAAAGTATTTTGGAACACACATTCTACTGCCAATTTTTACCAGGGATGGTAAGCCAGAGATGCAAAGATAACAATTTTTTTCATGTAAATAAGACCAAAACTCCGAAAGTAATCCCTTATAGCTGATGCACTGAGTGAATATTTTTCAGTTGTTTAATCGTGATGAACCATCATGCACAATTTTATCACTGAAAAAAAAAGAGTTGCTGTAGTAACATCCTGGATGTTAAAAAAATGTGCGACAACCCTTGGATGTTGTCATTACCACTCTGGCTGTTAAAGTAACATCCTAGGATGTTACTTTTACATCCTATCATGCTACGTTAACTGCCAGAGTGTTAATAGCAACATCCAAGAGTTGTCGCTTATTTTTTTAACAACCGTAACATCCGGTATGTTACTACAGCATCTTTTTTTTCGGTGTAGCAACATCTGATTGCGCTTGCTAGGATTTGAGTCGCCATTTTCTCCAAGTCTTTTGGATTACGCCAATGCGCAACGGATCCCTACAGTGCCGTATTTAGACTTTTTAGACCTGCTTACGATGACTCTTGTGGGAATTTTTAATCAATACTCAGAACCTGACATTACATTTTTACGCGCTGTCATAAATAGGGGGGGGGGAATTCCCTCAGATTGCCATACATTAATGACTTTCCCCCATCCAACGTAGCATCATTCTGTACTCGCTGTAATCACGCAATTCCTCGGCACGCCACTTTTCTGAGAGTAAGCGTCACCATTGACGTGATCAAAAAAATTCCATGTCGGAATCCGACATGAGACAAGAGGAGAGAGGTAGAGAAATACATATTCTGTCTGCGCGCGCAGGTCAAGCGGGTAACGTTTTGCACTGTGAACGGGTGTTGTTTCAGAATGTTCAGAATATCCCTTATTCGGAATATCTTTGGTGTGCACCTCCAAAAAGTCTTAAAGTGAACAAATGTCGCGAGAGACGAGTTTTTGCACAGTGAGCTGCGGGGTGATTGTTGAAATCGATAGACAAAGCTATAGACAAAGAGGACAAAAGAGATATGGAGGGATCCTATTGGTGGAAGCGGGTGGTTGTGATGGACAAAGGAGGTAGGTAATAGACTAACTAACGGCAACCCACGATAGACCTTTTAGCTAGTCCATCATTTTCTCCCGTAGTCTATAGGAACCAACCAGTTCAACCCATGGGATCGTTTTGTATCCCCTAAGTCTTCTTTCTCTATAGTTTTGTCTATCAATTTCAACAATCAGCCCACTAGTAGATTATGTATAGGAGAGAGTCCAGTAAATTTAAGGTGTATCCATAACGGGGCTAAGCAAATACAGCAAATATAGCTATCGAACAAAGTTTACGACAATATTAATTTTACATTAACATTTACATTAACATTAACATTTTACATTTTTTTAACATTATTAATTTTCCATTCTATATGCCTGCTTACACCAAGCTTAAATCTTACTAAACGCAGAAGAAGGAAAGATTCTAAAACAATAAATAAAAAATAAATAACAGAAATAATACTCAAAATCCTTCTCGCAGAAGAAATTTTGTTTCACACTAGATAACAATCAGCATAATCTGAATATCGACGAGGCATTCCCCCTAAACCAAGGAAATGCTGAGGGAAAAAAGTTAAATTTACTCCAATGAACATAATATAAAATTGAGACACCAAGCTATAATTATTTAAAGTTAAGCCCAAGATTAATGGAAATCAATAAATAACTCCTCCTACAATAGCAAAAATAATTCCTATTGATAAGACATAATGAAAATCGACGGTGAAACTACCAAACCACGTATCTCGTTTGCGGTGTTTAAAAATCTCCGCTCATATTTTATTTTTTTGAAGTAGACCAAATCAATATCATTCCTTGAAATTTTCACAGAATTTTCTCCGCACGAAGAGGAAAAATCACGGAAATTTTCAAGACTGGACGTTAAGTAGCTTTTCATTTAAAAAATAAAGTATGACAGGAAGTCTGCGACGTCGCAAACCGAGATACGTGGTTTGGTAGTTTCACCGTCGAAATGTGCAACAACAAAATAAGTGTCATGCAAACATACATCTACAGAAGAGTTACCAAGAATAATTCCGGTTAACCCACCTATAGTAAATAAAAATAATGCTAGTCTCAATTTAAACCTTTTACAGGGATCCAGTAAGCCTGAAAGCACATATTTAGGTATTTTAGTTGGTTATTTCCGTACTTATTAAATTTTTTTGTAAAACCTGAAGCAGAGCCAAAAGTGTCTGAACGCGAAAATTATGAGTCGTTCGATTTGGTTAATCGCATTTTAGAAAATGACTAGATCGTGAATTTTGGGAAACCGCTGTCATATTTTGCCTACGTTGTTGCCAGCTGTAGAAACGATTCATTCCAAATTCTTATTATGTAGGTTTCATGTATAATTATGAAATTATTTTTGAGCACGAAAGTTTTGACCCGACGTTCTCGAGAATATCACAACGCGTTTAGTGTCGGATTCTGAAAATCAATACTTTTTACCCAAAGTTGGTTTTTTTTCTTTGCCTGTTGAGGAATGTTATTTTGCTTGACTTCATCTCATGATTACGATAAAAATCACGATTAGAATGTCCTACTTTCAATCCCATTGAAAGTAATGATAAGGAAAGTTGCATATTTGTAAAATAGCAATGGAGACATAAATATGTTGAGAGAATTTTCAAATGTACTACCACTAAATACTGATGAATGGCCATCCTATTACTGCCGAGCTTAACTATATTTGCACTACAATATTTTCACTCACAAATTAAATTCATCAACGGAAGTCTATCTGCATACAGTTTCCATTGAAAATACATTTTTTCATGTAAATGCAACTTGAGAACTCTTTCAGAAAATTGATGGACGTTCTCTTTACTGAAAATTTCATCGATTTTTCGTCTGTATTACCGAAAAATCAACAAAATTCTAGATAGAAATTATGGATGTCATACTTTCGTGAAATACTGCATTGTTCAAGTCAATTTCATAACCTCGGCAAGGAATTACGTTCCTCCGTCTTGGAAGTGACAACATGAGCAACGTTGAGCAGAAGGGATCAGCCTTGTCGAAGCTGAGAAAAATAAGTCCAAAGGTCCGTGTTCCAATTGAAAAAGTAAATTTTAACCCCAAGAGTATTTTTCCTCGATACTGAATTTTTAACGGTCAAACAGATACGACTGTCTCGGCTCAAAAAGTCTAAAGCCCGCTCAATCCCACTTTTTAGGAATGAAAGAAAATGTAAAGAAATTGATTTTTATTCCTGAAAAGTTGGTCGATTTCTTCCTATTTAACTCTGTTCTTGTAGTTAGTAATAGACCCGTGCAAGCAAAAAAAGTTTAAGAACTTACCGAAAAAATCGAAGTAACTGAAATTAGCACCCCCAGCAAAAATTCACAACACAACATATTGAGAGAAACCGAAGACCTGGGCCTCTTAACGCGATTTTGAAAACGAAGCCTTCAATTTTCCATCGATAAACAACCATTTCAGCGGGGAAAAATTATTTGCGCCATCACGTTTGACTCACACTTTTTTTTGAGTCCCACTAGCTGTCGCTTTTTTGCGGACCAGATGCATGTGATCTTGTTGCGTGCTTCATTTTAAGTCTGAGTTTACTTCAAAATTGCTACGAGTCATTTTTACCTTCGTGTCTGCTGCCTCCAGCCTACCTCTTAAAGTCAACCTGGAACTTTTTTTTTAGATAATACACTTAGTTCACTGCGAAGCGGGTCAATGGGGGTTTAACATAAAGTAGAAACTTTAAAAGCTTGCACCATTGTTATGAAGAAAATGTAAAATTTCACGAGTGATTCCACTTGTTTCATGGCAAAATTTCCTTCCAGGAACGCCCCTTAAAAATTGTAATGTGACAAAATAAACATTGATTCGAGGGTCGTCCAGAAAGTAAGTTTATCTATTTAATATGTCCTAAATTAAGATAGATGGAAAACATTTGTGAAAAACGTAGAAAAGCCACTACTTTCAGCTTCCTAACGCGTTGTAGACTTTTGAGATTGGTTCAATAGAACTCTAGAAAAAGGGAATTTTTTGAACCCACCTTCTCCCCGCACGGATCCAAAATCTCACTGAGGAAAATCTCTCTGAAAGCGAGCTGCTATGTGTATAGATTATGGCAAAAGAGTGACTCACCATAGGTGGTTGAAAGTCATGTACCTAATTATGAGTGAGGACACTATTTTCTCAACAAGATAACTGCAATATTGATTCTTGAAAACGCAAGGAAAAATGAATGGGGGGGAAGAGAGGTAATAAATGGATGAATTCAATATGAAAGGAAGGAAGTCTGTATTATTGAGTTCCTCTTGAATGAAAACACCGTAACTTAACTTAACAAAACTTAAATTAACTGGTTCTGAATTTGTAATCCTTGATCACACCGGATATACCTCATCTAACGCCATTTCATCATTGTAATTTGAATATATTCACATTCAATAAGTTAAAAATCTAAATTTTTCATAATTTTCTTTACACTTTTGGAAATTCTACGTATAAAGACATTAATGACCTCAGCAGCTAAATGTCTTTAAACAATAATAACTAACTGACTAATACTTAAATGTGTAAAATGTTAAATAACTACATACGAGTCACACAGAATTATATTATTGCATCTACATATTGTAGTAAAATTTGAGGTATTTTCCTGGACTCCGACGTAAATAGCTATAGCTGCCGATTGTCTTATTAAATTATGTAACGAACTAGTCGCAAGTTATTATATCTAAAAAAATCCAAGTAAACGTTGCTTGAGAATATACTACCGGCAAGATTTGCAGCCACGCCCATCCGTTGCAGGGTGGGTGGATACGTTCCGTCTTCTTATTTCTGTTCATATTTACTTTTGATGTAGCACCAAACGTTCGACCTCTATTTCTTGGGAGGTCTAATTGATGCCGTAGAAGATGACCGAGATAACGTTCGTGACGATTTTCCGGAAAAGCACCTGAAAATCGAGTCAGAACAGGAGGCTTCTTCACACGGCGTGTAACGAACCGCCAGGTCATCAATTTTGAAGGTATATGTCCCCTTCCCGCCGGCTTCCTTTATTGATTCAAAATAAAGCTGAAAATATAAAATCAGATTTTAAGTCGTAACGCGGGTTGATACACTAGTTGTTCATGGCTAAACCTTTAGATTCCCAAACCGGGTCAGATTAACCTGAGGCATGCTAAAAACACGTACTCCGCGGGTTGTATGGGACCAGTGGCGTGGCGTGAATTGCGACATATCGATTGTTATGCCATTTAAACCTATGGTAAAGAATGGATTATTAAGGTGTTCGCTGCGAACACCCTGTTTATCGATCCTTTTCCATTGGTTTAAATGGCATAACAATCGATATATCGCAGTTCACGCCACGCCATACTGTTATGGGACCGGTACATACAACCGTTAGATAAATTATGTAAGTCTACCAATACATTATGCGAAAAGAATCTGACATCAAATTGAAAAAAACGAGAAAAATTGAGTGCTAGGGCATATTTTTTTTTGACATCTACTCCTAAGTATCCCAAGCCAGGTCATACTGACCCGACTATCTGTTCTGAGAGAGTTTTGGGGCCGATACCTACGAGCTGTAATTATAGGTCTTCAAATAAACCTTAAAAAAAAGATGAGACATCACAACCGAAAAAAACAATGAAATAAATGAAAACAAGTTGGTTTTTGCAATCGCTAGCGATAGCAATATTCGTCATGGGAACTTTAGCTTCTGGGATATGAAAATTTTAAGGTACAGTTCGTTTGCAGTATCTTCAGAATTGAAGGGGCTATGTAATTTTGTGTCAACATCTCTTTTTTAACATTTTTAATTTTTTTTTCTTTGCATACAAGAAAGCTGTTATTTACCAATTATTTATTTTCGTTGGATTATACATGGTTTTCGCGAAGTTAACGCATTTAACTTTCAGTTTCGCTTTTTCGGCGTAAAGTATGATATTTTTACTCTACACATATGCCCGAATACGCATCATAAGTGACCTATGTGCCTCCTAAGTTGCCATTTTTTCATTCAAATAGATGTAACTGAAATGTTCGATGTGCACTATACTACTTTCATGTCATTGCTTTATTTATTTTTTGAAAAAAGAAAATACCATCATTAATTTGGGCGAACAGAGAAAATATACGTCAATATTTGGGTCAACATCTCCCTGATTATATAACGGATGAATATATTAGTATTTCTGCATCAAAAAACTTAGCTTTTGTCTTCAGAGATACACTGATTCTAGTCCAAGGCAATTTGTTTTATTGAAAAGACAAAAAAAAAAAAAAAAAAAAAAAAAAAAAAAAAAAAACAACTGAAATGTTAGACATACTATTTTCATGTCTTTCTATTTGTATCAATAAGTACATCTTGCTTAACTTACGAACGTTGAATGCAAATAAACTTTATTGAAAAAAAGAAAATAACGTCATTAATTTGGGGAAACATGTGGCTGATTATATGAAGGAGGTATATTCCAGTATTTTTGTTTAACATATTAACTCACGAGAAAATGTTCGTACATTTATCATCTAGTATTAATTATTTTTTGATGATTGGTCTAAAACATTCAATACAACCATTAAAAATTAACTCCCATCGCCGGGTATCGAACTCCCGATCACCTATTGCCCGCACCTTATCAAAAAAATGGGGCGCCTCAGTCAACTAGGCTATCACGAATCCGCGGCACTTCGAGAAAAAATAGCATTTAAAAGACTCGGACGATGGGCGGGACTTATCACAAGAGTTGTCCTTGAGCGATTCGCGTCTTCGTAGCCTCTGAGATATGAAAGAAATGAGCTAAGCGCCTTTCTCTGTGAGACATTGTTTGCCTATGCTATCATGTGTCTCAAGGTTCATCTCTGCATGCATTTGTTATCGCGGCAGTAAGCTGAGGCAATATTTCTGTATTCATGGAATAAATCAATCAATCGAGTTCCAATTTTGGCTCATATATCCGTAACGGGTCCTCCAGAGCAGTTTTCCACCTTGCACAATAGTTATAATTTCTTTATTTCTATTTGTAAAATTTGAGGTGGGATAATGGCGGCTTCTCAAGAGCAACGAGGTAGGCGATCTTTTGCACCAACGAACAGAAAACTGATGGCGTAAAATAACCAATGAAAACCTCCCAAAAAAAAGAATTTGCCCAAAATCGGAACTTCGTGGTTCTGCGCAGATTTACCAGTCAGACACGACATCTCAAGGTGGAAAAAAACTCGCTGAAAGCGAATTTTAGAAATCAACACAACTTGACGTAGAGACATGATTGGCTAAAAAATACAACGGTTTTTGATACATCGGAAAATCAACCAAAAATCGAAGACTGGGCGAAACGCTCAAGGTCGCAGAGGCATAGGGAATCCCATAGCGATAGCATCGGAACGATTGTAATATCATGGGGAACTCCGTTCCCATGACAAAAATTAAGAAGTGTCAAATGGCCGGCGAGACAAAATCGGGCCTCTTTCTTTAACTTTCCTCCCGAATTGGCAAGTTAGAGCAGAGTATTGAGATTGAGAGTCAATGCCTCGCGCCAGCAAGCCTTCAATTTTGGAGATGCAACACGGACATCCATCAAGCACGAATAGTTGTATCTCTGCGCCGTCATCAAGGCGCGTCTTTTTCCTATCTCTATTTCCATATTGTGATTGTTTACGTTCGTTTGATCATTTTGTAGCGCTACTTCAAGGGCTACGCGAGCAACAAGGCCGAAGATAGGAGAGACGTAGTCGAACCTCGTTTCTTAACTTTCCCACCGAAACTGAGTGACTTCTTATTGCCGGCACAGAGCGGAGCATCCCAAGCTCTGTTCTCGATGTCTGATGTCATGGCGCCTTCAGTTTTCTAGATGCAGCACGGACATCCATCAAGCACGAATAGTCGTATCTCTGCGCCGTCGTCAAGGCGCGTCTTTTCCCTATCCCTATTGTAATTATTTACGTTCGTCTTATTATTTTGGATTACGTTTCATTTAGCCACAGCTTATTTAGCCACGTGGCAAAATGCAACAAAAAATGTTGCATCTTGCCACAGATTCTAGGTGCTATGTGGCAAAATAAAACAAAAATTGCCATGTTCAGCAAAATTTAAAAATTGTGACTTTCTTCTATTTTTGTGTGTTTGAGTGTGGGTTGCATGCTCTAGCTCCTGAAAAATATGAAATATTTCTCAGCATCGTCAAATTTCATGACATATTTCACTGAAATTTCCAATCTTTCATTTCTTTCTTACGTTTCATGCCATTCTGTCCGGAACGGACTAAATTTCGGTACCCATGCGCTGGTTCCTACCTACCTTTCATCGGGGATACCGAACCGTGTGATCCTCACGGATTTCTAGTCCGCCAGGATTTGTCGCCAGCGCAGGACAACATCCAGTAGGAGGTAACATTGTCATGTTGCTTCTGGCGCATTTCCGAGATCCTATCCTATGGTCTATGACTGGGCCGTTCTCGGAGCAATATGACCTCCGTTTCCGCGAACGAAGATGTGTCAGTCCATATAAGATTATATGTATGGACTGCATTTTGTAATTTGGAACTATAAGTTCTGGCTCCTCTGGAAAAACACGTATGTGCATAAGGAAACTAATGGCACATACGTTGTTTTTAAACCGGGCTGGAATTTATAGTTCCAAATTGAAACATGTAGTCCATACATGGAGATACGTGGTTCTGTACTTTGGTCATCGAAATACTTTCGTGCACGGTTTTGACCTGGAGTTCTCGTTCCCGTCGCATCTCGCGTAATTGGACTGCATTTTGCAATTTGGACCTATAAATTCTGACTCATCTGAAAAAACACTTAAGTGCGTAGGGAAACTAATAGGCACATACGTTGTTTTTAAACCTGGCCGGAATTTATAGGTCCAAATTGCAAAATGCAGTCCACTTATTCCTTATCCCCTAATTTCGTCGTTCCCCTCAGGAAAAAATATAACTGCGTTCCAATGTTGCCAAATTCTTCCCCGCAAATCTAATTGTTACCAGGAGAATTTCGGGTGCTACTTCCTGAAATTTTCACCGATTTTTCTTTGGATCTCATGCAAATATCAGAAAAATTTGGACAACAATTTTACATGCATATTTTTGTAAAAAAAGTTATATTGTTTGAGTCAATTTGGCAACCTTGGAATGGAGTTGCGTTCCTTTGACCGAACCGAACCGACGAATTGGACTACATTTTGCAATTTGGAACTATAAATTTTGGCTCTTCTGGAAAAACACTTACGTGCATAGGGAAACTAATGGCACATATATGTATGTTGTCTTTAAACCGGGCTAGTATTTATAGTTTCAAATTGCAAAATGTAGTCCATTTTTAAGTGTGTGTCGGTGCCTGAACATGTAATCTTTATCCCGTTTGTGACACTGTGGAGGCCTAAAATACAAAAACCAATCAGAAATGGATTCACATTGTCTTGACTCTCCGTATGAATGGACTCAATAGTGCAGTGAAAGAACTCAAAGAACTCACCATGAATGGACCTCCGACGTTCACACGGACAGATTGGTGGATCCAGTAACGGTAACGAATTAATGGCTGAAATTTGGTGTCCATGTACCATATTTGCTGCCCGGACGACTCGAAAATGGATTTCGAGGTAACAATAGTGGCATCCAGAGGAGACCACAGGTTCACCTGTACCAACTGAATTAACAAATCAAAAGGAGGGATGAAGCAAGATGACACTTCATCTCTTGAACTGAAACATATGGGGAAATTTAGCCGAATTCTTAATCTATAAATATTAATTGTAGAAGAATAACCCATTATCTTTTGAATAACACAATTATTTAAACCCGACCACCTCAAATTTGGCTCAAATTCTATATCAGGGATCTCCCTATCATTCAAAGAGACTATTGAAGGATTTTTCCCTTCGAGACTGCGTTTACGAGGTATCGACGCGTAGGAATGTCATAAACAATTTTTCCCTCTTGGGTTTTCCATAAGGGCAGTTAGTATCAACTTACCGTTTCTCAAATGATTGTTTCTAAAACAATTTTCTATGTAAAATGTAATAATGTATATTATGATGATTTAGGAAGGAACCATACAGTCAATTTACTTTTAAAATTGTAGAAACAGCGTTTGTTAGATAGGTTTTTTTTTTTTTTTATTATTTTTTTTTTATTTTAGGTAAACAACAAGCGCAAACATCCTCTGTAAATTATAATGGTGACAGCCATTTTATTTTCTATTTTTATATTGTGAGACATGCACAATTTAAAATTGGGCTAAGAATGAAATTCACCTTTCTTTAAAAATTTTTCGCCATCCAAAAATATTCAAATTGAAAACTCTCAGGGGTCGTCTCTTCGAATTCGATTTATTTTTATACATTACGCTAATGATACAAACTTTTGAGTGCTTTGTTTTTTATCTTATATAGTCATGATAGACGGCTAAGGGCTTTAATAAGGGAAAAAAGCCAAAAACGAGCACAAATTGATGAAGAAAAGCGACTTTTCACATATTTAGCGAGGAGTCTCCACAACGGTTTCTCCTGTTTCCAATTTTATTTCCTAGATCAACCTAAAATTTAAAGAAAGGAACGTCTTATGATGTGTATCGATTTGTTATAGGGGCCTAAGGAAAATTGAAATAGGTCAAAAAAACTAAGAAATGACGAATATTAGAAGCATAAAAATTATCCTGTGCGATTTTATTAAAAGGCAATTTAATGTGATTACGAACCTTTATTCTGTGAAGTCCTCTAAAACGCTTCGTCAATAAATATTTGAAAGTTATACATCCTTCTGGACCACGATCTTTATCTAGAGGGCTTAATCCAGAAAAACCGACGCTCCATATGCGATCCTCTATCCTTCCATTGAAGAAATTTTCAGCCGTATTGTAAGACCAGACCAGGTTTCCAAAAGGGTTCAAGGCTTCGACTGAAAAATATAGTGCGCTTTTGAAGTAATTATAAGTTGAAAGTTATCAGTTGTAAGTAAGATGTTTTGCCATTTATTATTGTTCTTCTATTCATTCTCGATCGAATTTTTGTCTGGCGGTTCAAGTTTATACCTTTTTATCGATTCTTGTCCATCTGGTATGAACTTGACCGAACCGTTTGGTAAAAACCTCTAATTTTCGTGAGTCCCAAGTAAGGATGCCATTTGGACTGCATTTTGCAATTTGGAAGTATAAATTCTGGCTCTCTTGGAAAAACACTTATGTGCACAGAGAAACTAACGGCACATACGTTGTTTTTAAACCGGGCTAGAATTTATAGTTCCAAATTGCAAAATGTAGTCCATTTCACGATGACGCGATTCTTCGAGAACGCAGAAGCTTGCGTTGCCTAAACTAAAAATTCAAGGCGAACTGGACTGCATTTTGCAATTTGGACCTATATAAATTCTGGCTCATCTGAAAAAACACATATAAGCATAGAGAAACTAATGGCTCATACGTTGTTTTTAAACCGGGCTAGAATTTATAGGTCCAAATTGCAAAATGCAGTCCAACTGATATGACGTTAAAATTACATTTGCTGGAAAAAACTTGTTTTCTAGTGTGTTGCAAATGAGTGTGCCATTACAGGACGATACCACTATTCGACTACGACGCACAATGGATCCAGTCACTTAGAAAGGTCGGACATGAATTTTTTTTCTAAAACTGCAAATTTATATGTTTATTTCGTCACATTTTACATTTCAAGGGGTGCTTCGAGAAAAAAATTTTACAAGAAAACCAATGGAACCACTTTTAAAACCTCAAAGTTTTGTATGAACGGAGTTAGAAGCCTTTAAAGTTTCAGAATTATGTCCGACCACTCCCATTGACTCAATCCACTGTGCGACGGAGCTCGTGTTACCGTGTTAAC